TCAAGTTCAGTCCTGCATTAGTCAGGGCTGAAAGTGGTAAGCGAATCACTCTAGGAGGACCCGCAGGCTGGGGATTTCCTGCAGCCGCCAGCTGAGAGGAAACTGCGTTCATCTGTCTGAGAGAGGAAACAGCTGGTGCACCAGCATGGACACCATTACTGCCCAAACCTCTCCCACGCTGAGCTAAGCTCTGGGTCATGAGTCCAGACAAAAGACTCGTGGAGCTCTGAGAAGTGGCTGAACCAGCTGCTGTCCCACTGGAGGGTCTTGGGTCTGTACGAAGCAGGAAAACATACCGTCAACAATTTCAAGAGGTAAAATAAAGCTAACAACAAACAATGAGCACGTGTTACAGCAAGCCACAAGGAAGGCAAATAATCATGAGACTGTAACCTACTACACATGCTCAATAAGGTAAACCTTTTCATCCTAGAAACTCTTTAAAGAAAAAAAAACCATGAAAATTACTATAAAAAACATTATACATAGGTCCCTAATGAGTTCTAGTGTGTTTATATTATATACATTTAGAACATTTATTACAGAAAAGAAAAAAGAAGAATCAATAAACACAAGCTGAGTGGGGAATGAAATGAGTCAAGTCCCTATGGGGTATTTCATACTGTGACCCTGATTACTAAAGGCTGAATTATGACATCGTCACAGCCAGTAAAAAATTTACCCACTGTGCCTTTACCAACATGATGCAAAAGGCTAATGAATTGTTTCCTGAGACTGGATGTTTTGGGTCTAAAGGCACAGATAACACAACCTAGCTGTAAACGACAAGACAACATGCCAACTGTTTGTTTGAAGATGAAAACAGAAGAAATGTCAAGAAAATACACTAAAAACAGGAAACAGAATCATCACAGACCTGAATCTGTTGTATGATGTGTGTTTGGCTGCTGCACCGTCAACACTAGTGAGGCCAGCAGCTTGGTGTCCTCCGTGTCCCGCATGATGAGCGTGTGCTGTGCGGTCAGCCGCCGCTCCCACATCACCATGTGCACCTGGCTAGGTGGGATGTTGGGAGGTGTCTGCGTGTATCGTGTGATCACTGACTTGAGGTCATCACACTCCATCCAGACTGTGCCTGGAAAACCGACCAGACAACAATTAAACTTACATAGCGATAATGTATAAAACAATACCCATTTCCAACAGGCATCATCATTTTCCACTTCTTTCACTTAAAATCTCTGGAAGGCATCCCATTCAGTACGTCTGCCCTGTTCACGGACTTTTGCAGCTATAGCCAGTCTGTCAGCTTTGTCTGTCTGCCTTTTCTTCCTCTCTCCTTTCCACCGCATCAGATCTCAGCTCAGAAGCACATCCCCCCGTGTCTAGCCGAAGGTGGAGACACTGCACACAGTGTGCCAACTGCCATTTCTAAGCAGAATATGACCAAGAAAAACTAGACATGAATGCACTGTGTTGATTACCTTCACCCGGGCAGTCAGTCCTTTGATAACCCTAGCTGTCTGAGGTATTCACATTTCATCTCAAAACCACATTTCTACCTAAAGTTTACTTCTCATTTGTTCATATTCCCAGACTCATTGCCAAACAGCAAAATCGGATTCAGGAAAACATTTCAGTACATTCTTTCTAGCAGTCAACAAGCTGATGGAAGCCAAGTATGAATGGACATCACAACACTATCCATAAGTGCTCAATCTTCATCTTCTGGGGAAAACAAGAGACCCACTGACTTTCCAACAAGCATGTCGTAGAGATTCCACTGAGAGCTTCCTTCGAAGACGGAGTACGTCTGCCTTAGTAATTGGTAATGATATGCCGGCAACTTGCTAGATCTATCATTCGGTCTGTAGGCCACCAGTTGAACACCCTGGACTCAACTGGTGATAATATGACATAACCTGTAACATGCAAAACTGGAACAACACTAAAATCCAGAAACAACGGTGGGTGATGTCGTCAATATCACGCGGGTCGGGTTTACTTTCAAAGACTTCTGTTGACTTGGGAGTCAGGGTCATCTTCTATAGGCCCCTACCAAGGCAGTCTTCTTCTTCTTCTTCTTTGTTCACCGGCTTTGAATCCCGACGGAAGGTCCCGGTTAGTCGTCCGCTTAGACTTTTGGCTTTTACCTGGACCTGAGTTTTGCGTGTACAACCGTTTTGCTGTTCCCTGCCTCGCGGGCAGATGTATTCGGACTTCGAGGGAGAAAGGCAGTCTAAAAGCTCTCATGATGCCAGTAATAAGTGCTGATTTATTAAACACATTTTGAATTTCCTTGTTGCTTCTCACTCTCCATTCCCTGCTGTTTGCATATCTGATGGGTCCACAAATGTATTGTAGGACTGTTCTCAATCCTGCAAGGCTTCGTCTAAGCAGTTCACTGTACCCGTGTGGGCTGTGAGACACTGTAGAACACGTCCTGCAAGTCTCTCCCTTGTGCAGCCCATTTAGAGGAGGGGGGAAATGGCCCAACAAGTCAACTAAAAAAGGAACTCCAAAAAACCATCCATTTTGTCACAAGAATGCATATGTCTGTAAATCAGACAGCGATCAAGAAGAAGAAAAAACAAAACATCTAACTAGCATTTTATATATGCGCTCTTGGTGTAACAAGACACAGCATTTGATTTCAGCAGCTGTACGACAATTGTATTTCCACACTGTTAACAAAAGTAAAAATAATTTTTTTTAATTTTGTAATTTACCTGGAGCATTTCTGACCCAGGCGATGAAGTGGTCAGGGTTGTTCTTGTAGTGGACAAAGGCTGTCACCTCATAGTGGTCATCGTTGAAGTCAAAGCTCAGTTCATCAAACCGACTGTGAGGAAGCCCCTTCACAAAGTGCATCTGTACAAAGTCTTGTAGTCTGTGTGACAAAACAAACAGAAAACTGGATAAATCTAATTACAGGTGTGCTATATGTCAGCTGACTACAACTTGGCAACTCAGTTAACGTAGGGGACACAGTTCTGAAATGGGAATGGTCACAGGCCAGACGCCCGAGCTAGCCAAATCTTTAATCCAATACAAATGGCATAAGGTGCCTTATAAGAGCATGTGTTTAATTCAGAGGAGCAAATAGTCCATCACAGTGTGAAAAAAAGTGATGCAGCAAGGAGTGTTGAGGGGATTTTGCCAAAACTCAACACTAAGAGATAATATGACAGACTGCTACCAGTACCACTTATAATAGAACTCTGCACTGCCTGCTGAAGATGGGGATATAGTGCCTATGGGAATGACATGAGTACTGTGATGTTGCTTCCTAAATCAACTTAAATCAACTGGTATTCTTCTTCTTCTTTGCGTTCACTGGCTGTAAACTCAGGTGAAAAGTTCTGGGTATTTGTTCACCTCAGGCTTTAAGTCTTGTTCCAGAACCTAAGTCTTATGTTCACATCCGTTTGACACAGCTGACTTATCTGTAAGCAGACTGTTGGTTCCTTGCCCCTCAGGCACCTGCACTCCGACTTCGAAGAAAGCCCCGCCCCGCATTTAGTCGACTCTTATGACATGCTTGTTGGGGAGGCAGTGGGTCTATTCTTGTTTTCCCCACAACTGGGCCCCAGAATCCACACAGGGACCAACTGGAAATGATATGCGGGCCACTTGCTAGGCCTATAGGCCATCAGCTGAATAACCCTGGACTCAACTGGTGATGACATGACATAATCTGTAACATGCAAAGCAGATTGAGATGTTTCAAACATTTGTAAAATGATGTGCAGGCAAAACTGAAAAAACATTAAAATCCAGATATGAACAACGGAGGGTGATGTCGCCAATATCACGCAGGTCGGGTTTACTTCCCAAAACTTCTGTTGACTTTGCAGTCAGGGTCATTTTTATTTGTTAAAGTCTGGCTTCATCAGAACCTGAACCTACAGCCTTCAGATCCGCAGGCTAATGTCTAGCCACTACACCATAGATGTTCCTCTGCTCTAATTATTTTATTGTTTAGGTGACAAAACACTTACTGTTCAAATTTCATCATCATCCTCTGGTTGGGTGCCTGGCACTCGAAGCAGCTGCGTACAAAGCAAGGAGTGGTCATGTTAAAATCTTCAGGCACTGTAGGGATGCTGGGCAAGATCTTGGAGTGGCTGTCATCTTGTGTGTATGAACATTTGTCACACTGTAGGACACAAGTACAACAGTTAATTCATATTCTACAAAATAGGAAAACAACATGTCTGGTGACCAGGAATGTTGGTATTTTACAGTGGATGGATATCTTCTATTTCGCGTTCACCTGCTGTAAACTCTGCGGAAAGTTTTAGTTATTCATCCACTTTTCGACTATAGTCCTGTTCCAGTGGCTGAGTGTTGCGTCTGCATCTGTTTTACAGATCTGACTCATTTGTATGCAGACTGCTGCTTCCTTGCCTCTCAGGCAGATGCACTCCGATTTTAAAAAAAAAACTCCCAATTAGCCGACTCTTACGACATGCCTTTAGGTAGGCAGTGGGTCTATTCTTGCTTTCCCTAAAATAGGGCCCCGTAAAACCAGATATGCATATGACTGCGATCATCATGCAGTGTTCCTCAAAACTGCCTCTCAACCCAGCCTTAAATGAGTACCCAGGTAAAGTCCTGATTAAGCACTCCGTGATATTGAAAAAAGCTCCACAAAATAGCCCGAATCTTACGACACTTTTTCGACTTTTTTTATAGGGCCCTAAAGGACCACTAAGTGCCCTCTCAATATCACATCATCATTGTAATATTTAATTGCCACACAGGGTGTATGGTCAACTTCTCCATTCTTAGGCACAAGTTGCAATAAAATCCAGTTCAACAAGTTTTGCCCCTCTCATCAAGACTTACCCATGACAATCCAGCTAAAAATAATTAACCTGCAGGCAGGAAAACAGAAAAATCACAAATGACAATCCACCTAAAACACAAATCAAAGAGTATGGAAACAAAACTAACCTATAAACATCAAGCTAAAACATAAATCACTTAGCGTGGAAACAATCACCTAGGAAAAGCATAGAAAAAAACTGATCACCTTAAAGACGTATCTGTAACGCATGGTGAACATCTGCTTGACCGTCGGGTTCTCTCGCACCAGTAGTGGCAGCACCAGCAACAGGACTGTTGTGTTTGCCTCGCTCACATCGCAGTCTTGGCTGTAGCGCCTGCCAGATCTTCTCTCTCATGCCATAAAGTACGTTGATGGCCTTCCCAATCTCGTCCATGTTCTCTTTACACACTAACTTAGAGGTCTTTGGGTCCTGAACTGGGGCAGCAGAGTTTAGATCCCCGAGGACAGCTCCACTGTGCTTCTTGAGAAGGTTCTGCAGCAAAATCTGAAAAAGACAGGACAGTGTCGTAAAGCACATTTGTGAAGAAAACATCGAGAAGGAAGGTTACAAGGTTATCATCGAATGGTATAAAAATGTAAGCGTAAGACTGATTGGAAAGGAAATAAATATTGTCTGTAAGGAGCTATTAGGAAGGATATAGGAATAGTCTTCTGTAAACAGTGGAAGAAAATTCTTTAATTCCTACATAAGCTCTAGAGAATAAAATAGAAACATTTATAAACATTCCATTTTTGAACATAAACAAGGAAAGATTATTGGGTAATAAATAAAGTGATTATTAAAAACAAATGCAATGGAAAAAATCGACTAGGTGACACCATCCTGAAGTAAAAAAAAATTAATGTTGCAACATATTTTTACCTTGTGACTTGGCCGCTGGAGATCACTAATGGGAAATCATTTTAATTTCTATTTAAAAATGCTAGAAAGAAAATACCCACAAATATTTTCAGCAACCACAGCCATTGATTGATACTTGTGGATGTGTGAACCGAATGTTCTCTAGGTCTCAGAATAATTATTCAGACATGTTTAATATCACATCTTTTAAGCAAATAAGAGACATTAATATATGTATATATATTTAACAGAATATTTGCTCTGATGCAAATAAATTCATAAATGTACATTCTGAAAGTAAATACATATCATCGGATCCCCTATTACTGTTACATGTTCACATCCACCACAGCTGCCCCCAGTTTGAATAACACATATTTGATATATATACTGTCCATTACACTGGAACAGATCACCAGCATATAAGTCCCAACCACCTTACCAACCACCCAGCATTAGTTATTTTTAAATATCGTAAAATGAAAACATTGATTGATTGCTAGTTTTTACGTCAGTTTCTTAATTTGGCCAAATAACGTTTGAGTTATTATTTAATATTCCCATTGTAAGTTTAAAAAAAAAAAGAGTAAAGGACCCTTTTCCACGCCATCAGGCGTATAGGGCATATAGGGCTAGACCTATATTTGTAGGGACCAATCAGCACAAGATGGGTGATGTGGTCAGCATCACGCCAGCCGCCTTTACTTTCCCGGGACTGCACCCAGTACCCACTCAAGGCTGGGTCGACCTGGGAGCCAAGGTCATTTTTGAAAAAAGTCAGGCTTCGCCAGGGAGCGAACCCACGACCTTCCGATCCGTGGCGAGCCTCTAGCCGCTCGGCCACGGCGACTCCCAGCGCCCATATTTTTTATAGACCAATCAGAAGTAAAGACCCCTTTCCACGCCTTTAGGTGGATCAGACATATGGGCAGAACGTCCCATATTTTTTACAGACCAATCGGCACTCGGTGGGTAATGTGGTCAGCATTACGCCGGCTGTCTTTACTTCCCCAGGACAGCCATCCTAGTACCCATTTAAGGCTGGGTCGACCTGTGATGTCCCATACCACGATAAAAGTCCACGCAGCCTGCAGTGGGTTTTGATCGCGGTGCGTTGGATTACGAGTTGGACTCGCAACGCCTTAGACACGACGCCACTTCCCATTGTAAACAGGATATTTATTTAATTACACTAGTGTTAGCAATTAACCCTTTGGAGGCGGAGCCTTTTTGGAGTTTCAGTGCCAATGGCGCAGTGATATGTGCTGTGAACAGCATATTCAGAAAATATGCAAAGGGCTGATTGTCACAAAACTGGCCGTGTGCTTTATGCCATAATTTGTGAGCACCTGCTGGTTGGTTATGACTGCTGCTTTCATCCGCTATGAATGGCAATTCTAGTGGGACTAGGTGTTGGAATCTCTGGCAGCTGCCTTATGAATATGACGCATGTGCAAGCTGTTGTATATTGGTGGGACTTGTGTGAGGTGTTTACTGACAGAGGAGTGGAGCAATTATGGGGTGACATATGAGGTTGAAACACCGACTTACTTACCTGCGCTTGTCGATTTGCCTTTAAAAGAGTCACTAATAAAGTTGAAGCCAGCTCATGGCCTGAGTCCAGGTCACAGAGTGGTCGCAGTGATGGCGAGTGGACTAGCATGATGAGGACGACGTCCATCCAACACATGGCGTCTAGGTTCTGCCACTGCACGAACAGGTTGTCCCTGCAGAAACTAGGTGAGACCCGACTTATCTGGGATACAATTCTGGCCAGCAGTGACTCGCTGTGACCTGCCAATGAAAAATGTCAGTAGGTTTTACAGAGGACCACACACAATGTTACTGAAAAGACAAGTAACTTTACAGAACAGTACAGGGTCATTGTTGCTGCCATTTATGCTAACAGACCTATAACCCCAAAATGCACAATCTTCTTATCCTTTATCGCATAAAGTTCTTCTTTTGACTTTTATACAGTAAAGTACCCTTTTCCACGCTTTCAGGCATATAGGGTTAGGCCTATGATTACAGTCCAATCGGCACTTGGGGGGCGTTGTGCCTATATATCTATAAAATTACTCATAAAAGCATTATATGCATCCATCCTGCATGAGTTCCTGGGCCTCACTGCGTGGGATAAAGAACAAAGCCACTGCTTTCTAATTAGAGCTGTTTCCTTTCAAGTTTCAGTACACCTGCCTGAGAAGCAATGAACCAACACTTTGCATTAAAAAAGCCAGATCTGTCAAATGGATGAGCACGCAAAACTCAGGTCCTGAACCCTAAAGGGGACCACTGATGAGAACTTGTTGCTGGAATGTATAGCCAAAGAACTCTGTTCACACACAAAGAAGCATAGCATCACAAAGCTATGGTACATACACACAGAAGCATGTACAGTCAAAGCTATATGTATACACACTTACAGAAAAGAATAGTCAATGCTATGTGTGTACACAAGTACAGAAACATTTACAAAAAGTTAGCTATGTATCCTTGACAGGGTACTGCAGAACCCCTGCAATTTGTTGTCGTCTGTCTGGTTTTACCAGTTATTTCTATGTTAGATATATTGCTAGTGATTTTACTAGGTACCTTTATGTTTGGTAATTGGCAAGTGATTTGTGAATAATAAGCATTTGATACCATTGTCAAATCTACGCAAAATCTGGGATCTAACTGTGTTTATCAGAATTATGAAACATGTTCGCAATGTCTAAAACATGTAGGATCAAAGCTATGATCTACAAAACACATCTCCAGTCAAAGACATGTGTACACATACAATGAAATAAGCGGGCAGTGCTGTGTATACATACACACAAGAACACATACAGTCAAAACTATATGTGTACACACACATACAAGAACACATACAGTCAAAACTATATGTGTACACATACAATAGAAAACCATGAGGGCAGAGCTGTGTATGCATACACACAAGAACATACGGTCAAAGCTAGAACACATACAGTCAAAACTATATGTGTACACAAACATACAAGAACACATACAGTCAAAACTATGTGAACACATACAGTCAAAACTATGTGTACACATACACACACAAACATAGTCAAAACCATTTGACACGGTAGCCAAAACATATAGGTCAAAGCTTGACACGTACGGTAAAGCTATGTGTTCACACATGCAAGAACACGTATAGTAAAAGCTATGTGTGTACACACAAGAACACGTAGTCAAAGCTATAAGTGTGTGTACACACACAAGAACACATACAGTCAAAGCTATGTGTACACAACACTAAGAATATGTGTACACACACACACACAAGAAATAGTCAAGTGTGTGTAACACACACAAATGTACAAAGTCGTGTACAAACTACACAAGAACATATACGGTCAAAGCTATGTGTTCACGCAGTGTACAAAGCTATGTGTACACATACAGTCAAAGCTATGTGTGCACACACACAAGAATATGTAGTCAAAGCTATATGTGTGTGTACACACTTAAAGCAATGAACACACTAGTATATAGTAAAAGCTATATGTGTGCACACACACAAGAAGTCAAACTACGTGTCAAACACAAGCTATGTGTGTACACACACACAAGAACACATAGAAAAAGCATATGTCACAAGCTTTTCAAAGTGTTCACACATACAAAAACGTATCAACAATCATAAGAACACTTCAGTAACGACAATCAAAGCTATACGAATATACATATTCAAAAACATGCAAAAAGCTACAAGTATATTACACAGGTACACAAATTTGCAGTCAAAGCTGGACTGTCAGGAAGACAATTAAAACAGAATGCAACAGCCAGCCACCGACTCACCAGCGCTGTCTGTCTGCGACAAAGAACCATGGTCAAGACTATCAGAATCTGCCTCGGTGACTTTCAGTTCTGCGATGTCCGAACTCACAGACTCCAGTCCTTCCCTGCAGGAAGGAGCCTGCTCGGTCATCTTGGCCACTGGCCTAAACCCATCCATATCTATAGAGCTACAGCTGTCCATGACAGGTGGTAGCTTCAGTTCCTCAGCCGTTGCTGGGGTCACAACTCCTTAAATCATTGTCAGAATGAAAACATTACCATGATTTCTGTCTACAAAGCTTCTTAAAATAGGGGTTGAGGTATTGTGGGGTGGTTCACAGCCAGGCTGTGATATTTGCACCTTTAGATCTAACACATTAGATTTCAGCAAATCCTTAATTAGTCGCCTTTTATGACATGATTATTAAGGTGTGGCGGGACATGCTTGATACTTTGAAAGAATTGAGTAAAACTTTCTTTCTATGTGACTCACTCTTCTGGACAAGCAAATTATGCATTCTCATGTCTCAAGTGCAATTTCTAAATTTTTCCTGAATCAAATAAGATAAGTCAGCAATTCAGACTCTTGGTCTGTTTTATAATGTGCCATAGTTCACCAAGGAGCAGGTGTTTTTTCATCTTCACTACTGCATACTTTTTAGGGTATTCATGATGTTCATGAAAACTTGACAGAGACGACAAAGTTGAAGAGAACAAAAATAATTTTAACATAATGAAATGTATTGATATCCATGCACTGCAACAGATCAATTCACATACATTTGATAACCCACACCAGGATATGCCAGGTGCCATTTTTTTTTAATCGTGGAAGAACAGTAAGGTTTAGACAACCACGAAGACACGCGAGGAAGTGAGAGACAATGTATGACAGTATGGTTAGTTTGACAGTATGGCACAACAAATGATCAGCAGTCAAGCTGGTTAGGAACTGAGGACCATGTTTACAAAGGAATATCTTCTTTATGTTTATCGGCTGTAAACCCTAAGAGAAGTTCTGGTTGTTCATCCAATTGTGGACTTTAGTCTTGCTCCAGAATGAGAGTTTTGCTTACACATCCATTTTACAGATCTGGCTCATTTGTAAGCAGACTGTTGGTTCTTCAGCTATCAGGCAGATGCACTTCAACTCAAAGGAAACCCTAACTTCTATGATTTGCTTGTTAATCGGGGCAGTGGTTCTTTCCCCCCCCCCCCCCCCAAGAGATCCCAGAACCCATATGGAAAATAAAGGAATATTATCACCTGTTACACTCAGCAACGCACATGATGATGATGATTCACCTAAGGACTTTTGATAACACTTTGCTAAAAGTAGAAGGGTATCTAAACAAACCAAGGGACAAATAACAGTCCAGGTGTTCCTACCTTGTCCAGAGGTCAGGTGTGACAGCTCTGCCAACATGCTCAAGCCACTCATGGTGTTGTCGATGCTGAATCTGGCGCCCCTGTCTATAACCTGCGTCTTTGTATCCACACCAGACTTCTGCTGGCTGGCAATGTCCGCATGACTCTGCTGATGGTCACTGGTTCCCACATCAATGAGTTCCTCGTCAGTGACAACTGCATCATCCCCCTTCAGCTGTTGGTCGGTACTGTTCACATTATTCACCGGCGGAAGCTCACTGACACCCTCATCACTCATGGTCTGATGTTCAGCGATGTCCATCACTTGCGGTTCCCCATCACTTCCAGCAGCTGCAGTAGAGGAGTCCATCAAAGATGTTATAATTTGTCCATCGTCGCTCTGTGTGTAGTAAACTTGCTGACCAGGCACCATATTCTGGCTGGCATCCACGACAGTACGAATGATGCGTCCACTGGTGTCCTGCATGTATACAAACTGTTTGCCAGGCGGGGGCATGTCATTTGTGTACTGGTCAGGGTCTAACTGAATCAACTGCCCGCTGACATCATGAGTGTAGATTATCTGCTGCTCATCTTGCTGCTGGGTATCAGTCTCACCCTGGGTGTGATTCTGTGTGGCTTCCATGCTACCAGCGTGTACCACTGTGGTTTCAATCTCCCCGTCTGCGTTTAACCACTGTTTATATATCACAGAATCGGCATATAAGGAAATATCGTTGGGGTCTATCACTGATGTGACCACCTGCCCAGAAGCATCTGTTGTCTGAATGAAGTAAACGCAATCACTGGCAGCAGATTCTGTACAGTCTCCCTGAGCTGCCAGATCAGGCTTAAACGCTGACTCCATATCAACATCACATTCAGTGTTCTGCACAAGCTGAGTGCCATCAGCAGCTGCATCTGTGGAAACAGCCTGTTCATTCTCTACTTCAGCTTCGTTCTCAAAGCTGGACACGGTCAGGGGAACTTGTGTGGAATCATGAGAGTCTTCTACAGCCGCACTAGTACAAACATCAAACTTTGTCTCATCATTTGCATCTCCACAAGATGTAGAAGTCACAGCAGAAAAGGTGTTCTGAAAACCCTTGTTGATTTTAGAGAATGTCACTGGAATACTAGAACTTAGTTCTGGACCGACATCCAAAGATGAACTCTGGATGGCAGCTGCTGCAAGGTCTGAACCTTCTGAAGTCCTGGACATTTCAGTTTTGTTATTTTCATGTGCCGGTAAAGACCCAGCAGAGTCGTGGACACTATCTGTAGAAAGGTTTTGAACCTCAACTTCTTCTTGAGAATGTTTGTTACTGAGAATCCCTGTTGCAGGCATGCTGATTACTTTTAACAACCGTTAAACTGAAAAGTTTTTTTCACAAATACTTAAGAAAACTATTTATTCACTTATAAACATACACAGTATTGGATGATTTAAACTAGAGTATTACTCCTTTGTTCTAGTGTGTTTTCAACGTTAACTACACGAACTACTAAGCTGTGTACCACCACACTGGGAGCTGTCTGAGGTAGGTTCAGCACTACCAGATATAAGAGAGCTGCTCTCTGAGGAATCCAGAACTGGCTCAATTATTTGCCTATCAAGATAACCAACAGGCTTGAAAGAACTGTAATCAAATGAAGATGTGTCCACGACAACCTGAAACTCATTATGACCAGAAGTCACCAAAGAGTTCTGATCCCCTTCCTGTGCGCTGGCAGGTTCATTCAGAATATCAACACTAAACTTCTGACATAAATGGGAGAAGTCTATTGGAACATATAAATCGCTGCAGCCGACAGCCTTGTTAATGGCTTGGATATGTGAGTTGATGATTTCAATGTGTGACTTGATGGAACTAGCCTGGAGATGAAAGTTAATGGCTTCAATGTGCGAACTAGCGCTATCAGACTGCTGACCTCTGGAACTCACAAGGTCATGGAGTGACCCCACAGGAGTAATTTCCAGATCACCACCGCTGATTTGTTGAACACTTACAGCGGGAACTGAGTTTATAGAAGCACTAGAAACCGGTCTATTTAGTGTCTGTAACTGGTTTCTTTCAGGCTGTTTGCCATAATCTACTGTGGAATTAACTTTCTTTACTGATCTGAAGATGATATCAGCACCTGAATTAGTAGTCTTCCGGATCTCAAGTTTCATGGACCCATCGATTAGTTTTGAAAGCGTTTCAGGAGGTACAACGATACTCCTCACTTTCTTGGCGCTGGAGGAAGTGTCCGGGGTAGTGGGGCGTGAATCGTAACAGCTGCTGCTGCTTGACTGGGAATCAGAGTCTAGACTGCAGGCACGTCGTTTACTCAACACTCTCCATTTATCTGCTCCAAATAGTTTTCTGATGTCTGTAGGTTTTGGGCTGAGAGCTGGACCTTGTTGCTGCGTCAAGGTATTTCTTTGCTGAAGTTTATGTTCTAATTTATTGGTCTCAAATGAGGCAAAACTATGAGCATGTCCACTGAGAAATGGTGCTATCGGAACCAAAGTCTTTCTCTCTTTCCCTTCTAGGGAAGATTCAGAGACCAATTTCTTAAATGGTGGCTGACTACCAGCTGTTACACCTGCCAAGTTGGACACAGGTGATATCCCTGGCAACGATGTAGGGTTCACACTGTATCTCGACTGAGAGGAAGATTTCAATATGCTTTGCAGGCATGTGTCGGTATTTGCGCTGGTTGGTGTGGACACGTGAGATGATCTAGATGACAATGATTTCCTTCTGCGGTTTGTAACAGTCAACTGTGAGACACTTCGCTTTACAATGAGAGACTGCCAGTAAGTCGACTGCATAAATGTACACTGAGGATAAATGGAAAACATTACTCATTCTCTTGCGAGTGAAGATTATCAAACAGTTATCCATTAAATCTATTTAATTATGAAACCTCACCCACAACTTAAAATTTAATTGAGCTTCAAAAGAATTGGCTGGCATCCCAGCGGTTTGAAGTGATGATGAACTGCAGAGAAGCGTTAATTAATGAATGGTTCAAGACACTGGCGCAGACTTCTATGGGGCCATGATACCAAAAATGTGTGAAGTCAGTGGTGATTGTGTTGACAAATAATGTAAATGTGTGGTTCACTTTTGGCTGCAATAAATCATATATGTATATATGTTGGTTGGTTTTTTAATTTTATATCAGGACATACTTAAAAAAACTTTGTTAGAAAGTAGTGAGTAAGTCAGTTTCCAGTCAGTCAATAGGTTCACTTCTGCTGAGGTGATAGCGCTGGCCAAGTTTATGTGCTAGTGTCTCAAGTTGCTTTTGTCAAGCTACAGCATCTGAAATGCAGGCTATTGTGCCATTTATTTAAGAATGAACAACTTGTGGTTTTAAATCTGTTGTCTGCCTTTAGTCTTTTAACCCTGTAGGCTCCAGTGCGAACGCACACAGTTGTACGGTTATCAAGTTTCTTCAATGTGTGTCATATTCAACGCCAACGTCCTTTTCTCACCTCCCGATTACCTAGAATTTTAGGTCACTACCAAATGATACTGTCAATTCCCTGTACTCTGGGCTGGCACCAGTTAATGACTATGTTTAGTTATTGTTTTCATTGTTGGCGCTGGAAGAAGTGTCCGGGGTGCTATTCGCACTCCCTGTGTGATGTCCAGGGCCCCATTTAACAAACACTACTTTCAAGTTTTCTCAGATCAAAAGTGTTGGGCAAAAGGCACAAATATCACAGTAAACAACAACATGCCAACCACCCTTTCAAAGACAAGTGCAGAAGCTACCCATACACCTCAGTCTTTAAATTGTCTTCGTGTTTGCCAGCTGTAAACTCAGGTGAATTAGTTCTGGCTGTTCGTCCACTACTGGACTCTAGTCTTGTTCCAGAACCTGTGTCATGTGCACATCAGGTTTATATCTGACTTATTTGTATGCAGACTGTTGGTTCCTCCCTTTTGGGTGGGTAGTGGATCTGTTCTTGTTCCCCCCCCCCACCATGGAGCCCCAGGACCTTCTCTGGGACACAGTATATAACTTAGCATTGAAAATACCACACGAGACCGAGGAGAACTGCCGTGGTCAAGTGGCAGGACACATGCGGATCGGAAAGTCATGGGTCCGGTTCCTGACGAGTGCCAGACTTTTTTTTCAAAATATTGGCTCCCAGCTTTGAGTGGGTACCAGGTATGGTTCTGGGAAGTAAAGGCGGGCGGCATGATGCTGACCTCATCACCCAACAAGTGCCATTTGGTCTATAATATATAGGTTTAGCCCTATGAAACCAATATGCCTGAAAAGCATGGAAAAGGGTCCTTTACTGTTCACTTTTTTTTTACAAAAGACAGAAACGTAAATACTTACTGCGGCATTTTTGCACATAAGTAGAGCCTCCTCATCATTGATCTGAAACAACTGAATAGGACTGACACTTCCTTCTAGAGCACATTTGGGACAGAATCTGCTGACTGGTGATCCTTCAATAGTCTGAAATGAAAAAGAAAAAACAAAACAATTACAGTCTGTCCTCACAGGCTTCTCACTTTACATCTAGTGTGTTATGATAACCTCATGAATATCTATTACCTCATCCCTAACTTTGACGAGTCAACTAATAATAAAATTACTCTAATTTAGTATAAAGTATCTGTAAGGTCAAAATACAATTTAGAAATACCATCACACGAATCTGAGGTGGCTGGGTAGTTCGTTTTTATTTTCCTTAGTGTTCCCTAGGTGTAAACTCTGGTGGAAAGTTCTAGATGACTGTCCACTAGTGAACGCCGGTCTTGTTCGAGAACTTTGAGTTTTGCATGCAAATCTGGCTTATGTGTTCATAGATATACTCCACTTTGAAAGAAAAAGGACTGATTTAGTCACCTTAATGACAAGCATATTGGGGGACTGTGGGTCTACTTATTTTTCTCCCAAAAAAATGGAACCCCGGAACCCATTTGGCAAGGTACTTGTGTTTCTCTTATTTTTCTAAATGGCCACATCTGGCAGCATAGACAGCTGTGCTCAGAACTGCCAACTGGTTTCACACTGATATTTGTGCACGTGGGAAGACTAAAGCAGCCAGATCTATCAAAGCCACCCCAAACTCACAAAGCATTAACCTGCTTACCATATTTATACAGAGCTCACAATAATATGTACAGTTAGCTACTAGTTTCTATCATCCACCACCACCTCCTTCCTTTGTGTCTTTACACGTCACATCCAGGAATGCAGTTTATTCTTCCATTCCATCTTGTGCAATTTCAGCAAAATACTGTGCAACCCTATTTCAGTGCCTGTTTGCTTTTTTTGTTGAGGATGTGCCGAATGTACCACCATCTTTATTATCTTATAGCTGGTGATAACAGCAGCTGTCCAGGCATTTCTCTTATTTCTCCCCCCCCCCCCCCCCGACCCCATTAATTGGGGGCACTGCCCCCTACCATAGGTCGTAAAAGGAGACTAATTGAGGAACCTGTGAAATCTGATGTTTTTGACCGAAAGAGGCCCAGGTGTAAATGATAACATAATGTGCTAACACCCTTTAAGGACAAACGAAGAATAATTCACCTTATTTAACGTTCTAATTTTCTCAGGTATCTGTTTTTCCCTTTACTTTTAGTTCAGCGTCTACCGTGGTTTTCCTACTGCCATACAGCCCCAATGAAATACACATTTACATGCTAGGTCAATGGTTATAGGTTCAAATCGTCACCGTATTGGTATTTTTTTTATTTTTAACTGGCCTAGTCTCAACGGCCGATCATGCACAAAACCATCATCATGTGGTGTGCCGGTAATTGTAGGCTGTCTCACACGATCACATCAGTGTTCTTGTCTCTCCCAAGCCATCCAGGTATTCATTTCTTTGCCATGCTGTTGCTCTCCGTTCATAAAATAGGTACCAGAAAATACCCTGGGAAGTGAAAATGACACTGACCACATCAAACTACCTAGTGCCAGTTGGTCTATAAAGATACTGGGGGTCTTGGTGGTGAAGTGGTCAAGTTGTTTGCCTCCCGCTCTGAAGGTTACGAGTTCCTTTCATTGATGAGTTGGTTCATGAATGCAGGTATTATGAAGAACCATCAGGATCATTGCTGAAGCTACAGGAGCTAGTCCTTCTGGGAAGAGAGACCCAGCCAATCAGAATAACCCTCAGCAATGAAGTTCTTCATGCAGGACTGCACATTACACTGGGCAGGTGTGACCAATACAGTACTAGTGCCCTAATTTTTAACTTCTTTGGAATCTGAATGGGGGTATCTGGGACTTGCCTTATTATCCACATTTGTGTTTTTAGCAGGGTGGTCAAATCATCATGAAGCAGCACAGATGGGTTAAACATATTAAACAACATGTCACATTCATAAATACAGGGTCAGTAAGGTAATGGATTTTACTTCTATAAACAATCAAAAATTACTTTATACTAATATAGCATCTGATCAATCCTGTGTTCACCGAATTTTCTTCCTACTCTTATTCACGTTCCATTGCAGTCTTTTTCTTCTTCTTCTTTATCCCATTTCTTCTTCTTCTTTATCCCATTTCTTCTTCTTCTTTATCCCTTTTCTTCTTCTTCTTTATCCCTTTTCTTCTTCTTCTTTATCCCTTTTCTTCTTCTTCTTTATCCCTTTTCTTCTTCTTTATCCCTTTTCTTCTTCTTTATCCCTTTTCTTCTTCTTTATCCCTTTCTTCTTCTTCTTCCCATTTCTTCTTTTTTATTTCTTTCTTCTTCTTCCCTCAAGGGCCGCATATTAGGAGTCTGCGTTAGCTGGTGTTTGAAACCGGGCGGTTCACTGGATTCACCCAGCCTTTAGGTAATGTGTACCAGAGTTAACACTCTGGGGTAAATGGAGAAACGTCGCTGTAGCTACGGAGTTGTGTGCAGGCGGCGACACAGGCGGACAGTTTCTTATCAGCTGTTCGTACTGGTGACAGAGCACTTATAACAGTGTTTATCCCTTTACTTTCTTCTTCTTTATCTCTTTCTTCTTCTTCTTCATCTCTTTCTTCTTCTTCTTCATCTCTTTCTTCTTCTTCTTCATCTCTTTCTTCTTCTTCTTCATCTCTTTCTTCTTCTTCTTCTTTATCTAGTCCTTCTTATTTATCCTTTTACTTCTTTATCCTATTACTTTTTATTCATGTCTTCTTCTTCCACTGCTTTGATTTAATACTAGCATAAACTACTAATGTTAACCACCAACCTTACTCCATCTTCTTGCCACACTAATTATTTTACATACAAAATGTATTCCAACCCATCTAATCTGTCAGCATCTGGATTCTTACCTTCGTTGCAAGGTTAGTGGCGCAAACATAAAACACATTCACATACACAACATGACGCACACAGAAAATGTGGATCAATGGACAGAAGATTGATGGAAGTGTTGAGCCTCACAAACTAGGAACAAGATGCCAATAGCCATTACCACCATCTGACTATCTTGTTTTACTTACTTGAAAAAAAATCACTTACTTGTCGTTGCCAGAATTTATCACCTTTACATGCCAGAAAGCTTTAGCCATTTTGAAACCCCTATGGCAAAACATTCTATTTATCAACTGACTTGTCAGAAAACTATGGCCTTTTCTATACCCATCTGGCAAAACATTCTATTTATCAACTTACTTGTCAGAAAACTATGGCCTTTTCTATACCCATCTGGCAAAACATTCTATTTATCAACTTACTTGTCAGAAAACTATGGCCTTTTCTATACCCATTTGGCAAAACAAGGTGTCTTGAAGCATCCCAATCGCCAGGCAATATTTTAAAGGGAAAACACTGAACTATTTTATTTGCCCGGCTCGCAAAAATGCTGGGTTTGTTTGTAACCGCACTGGTCACCACATGTGTCTCTAATGGCCTTTTTAAAATTTTCCTTTGTTCATATCTACATAATGGCTAGTCAGAATGTCCAGAACATAATAAACTCAACAGGAGTCGTAGTGCTGTAGCTGCCCGATGCGAATATCGGGTCCTGGCGGAGCCCAGCTTTTTTTTTAAATGATCCTGGCTACTATGTCCACCCAGCCTTGAGTGGGCACCAGGAGCATTCCTGGGAAGTGAAGACAGCCAGCATGATGCTGACAACATCACCAACCAAAGTGGGGATCAGTGTACAAAATGTAGGTAACCCCATTTACATAATATGCCTAAAGGGTCCTTTACCTTTACTGCAATAACTAAGTAAGATATGCATAATTTATTGCACTTTTACAATCAGCAAATCCTGCACATGTTATGGTACATTCATCCCTAGTGTTTCCTGTGTGGACATAGGATGTAGAGCCATATGGTCTTTATTTAACTTCTTTAGTTCGAGGCATAAAACTATCCTATGGTCTGTGTCGTCATCCTCTTATTAAATACCTTATGATCTTCTTCTTCTATCATCAGGTAGCATCATGTGCAGCTCCAATAAGTGTAGACAGACGTGTGTTGCCACCACATGCGATCACAAGATTCACTGATCGGGTCAGTGCTCTTGTCTCGCCCCAAAATGTTTATCCCCCCCCCCCCATGCTATTTTCCAATCAATCTTGCCAGTTATAACCATATTCTCAAGTCATTAGGTGTACAGATACCTTAAATTCTTGCTAAATTCCTTTTCTTCTTCACTGAGTATACAATACCTTAGATCTTGTTCAATTCCTTTTCTCCATTAGGCAGAGTTTACAATTATTTCATTCCTTTTCTTCTTCACTGAGTATACAATACCTTAGATCTTGTTCAATTCCTTTTCTCCATTAGGCAGAGTTTACAATCATTTCATTTCTTTTCTTCTTCACTGAGTATACAATACCTTAGATCTTGTTCAATTCCTTTTCTCCATTAGGCAGAGTTTACAATCATTTCATTCCTTTTCTTCTTCATTGAGTATACAATACCTTAGATCTTGTTCAATTCCTTTACTCCATTAGGCAGAGTTTACAATCATTTCATTCCTTTTCTTCTTCATTGAGTATACAATACCTTAGATCTTGTTCAATTCCTTTACTCCATTAGGCAGAGTTTACAATCATTTCATTCCTTTTCTTCTTCATTGAGTATACAATACCTTAGATCTTGTTCAATTCCTTTACTCCATTAGGCAGAGTTTACAATCATTTCATTCCTTTTCTTCTTCATTGAGTATACAATACCTTAGATCTTGTTCAATTCCTTTTCTCCATTAGGCAGAGTTTACAATCATTTCATTCCTTCAGCAGTTATAGTCACCATACAATACTGTTTCATTCCTTTTGTTCTTCACTGGGTAAAGAAATACTAATCGATCTTGTTTAATTCCTCTTCTTCTTCATTGGGTATCAAAACACATTACAATCTTTGGTATCAAAACACCTCACAATCTTATCAAGTACTCCTTCTTCTTCTATGTTTGATCAGAAATCTTACCGTATTTGGCAATTCTATCTTTCTTCAGTTACCTCACCTTATTTAGTCCTTCCTCCTCTATCATTCAAGGTAATCATCCCTTTTTATTAAACTTTTCTTCTTCTGTCATTGGGTGAGCTACCTTTCCTTTTTTGGTTCTCCTTCTTATGTCATTCAAGTCATGATTAATTCGTATTTTATCCTTGAGTGCAGAGGTGCCTTTTGGTCTTTTTTTTTATCCTTGATTGCAGAGGTTCCTGTTGGTTCTTTTTTTTAATCCTTGAGTGCAGAGGTGTCTTTTGGTCTTTTTTTTTTATCCTTGAGTGCAGTAGTGCCCTTTGGTCTTTTTATTATCCTTGAGTGTAGAGGTGCCCTTTGGTCTTTTTTTGTAACCTTGAGTGCAGAGGTGCCCTTTTGGTCTTTTTATTATCCTTGAGTGCAGAGGTGTCTTTTTATTATCCTTGAGTTTATAGGTGCCTTTTGGTATTTTTAATATCCTTGAAAACAGAGGTGCCTTTTGGTCTTTTTATTATCCTTGAGTGCTGAGGTGTCTTTTGGTCTATCTGGTCCTTACACTATCCTTGAGTGCTGAGGTGTCTTTTGGTCTATCTGGTCCTTACACTATCCTTGAGTGCTGAGGTGTCTTTTGGTCTATCTGGTCCTTACACTATCCTTGAGTGCTGAGGTGTCTTTTGGTCTATCTGGTCCTTACACTATCCTTGAGTGCTGAGGTGTCTTTTGGTCTATCTGGTTCTCTTCTATCATTGAGTGCTGAGGTGCCTTTTGGTCTATCTGGTCCTTACACTATCCTTGAGTGCTGAGGTGTCTTTTGGTCTATCTGGTCCTTACACTGTCCTTTAGTGCTGAGGTGTCTTTTGGTCTATCTGGTTCTCTTCTATCATTGAGTGCTAAGGTGTCTTTTGGTCTATCTGGTTCTCTTCTATCATTGAGTGCTGAGGTGTCTTTTGGTCTATCTGGTCCTTACACTATCCTTGAGTGCTGAGGTGTCTTTTGGTCTATCTGGTCCTTACACTATCCTTGAGTGCTGAGGTGTCTTTTGGTCTATCTGGTTCTCTTCTATCATTGAGTGCTGAGGTGTCTTTTGGTCTATCTGGTGCTTTTTCTAGCTTTAGATAGCAGAGGCTACTTTACAAGCTTGATAGTTCACACCATCCTTGCAAACGTTGAGTATGGTCTCTCCTAGTGGTGTCAATGCCCTGATCATTTCTGTGACTCAACTACTTATGTAGGTCCCATACACAGTGGAGGGTAATGGTTCAACTACTTCTGTAGGTCACATACACCGTGGAGGGTAATGGTTCAACTACTTCTGGAGGTCCCATACACAGTGGAGGGTGATGGTTCAACTACTTCTGTAGGTCCCATACACAGTGGAGGGTAATGGTTCAACTGCCCTGACCAGCTGCCAGCTTCCATGAATGGGCATGTGGTGAAATGTCACCCACTACTACACAGGTTCTCAACCCATTGGTCACAACCCTATTTGGGGAAAAGCGAAGGGCTTTCTGTGGGGTCATCGGGCAGTGGTCAACTGTTTAAAAGTGGCAACAATTTTAAAAAGGGAGGGGAAAAAAAAATCACTTTGCCGCTTCCTGCAGATTTTTGTTTGTGGAATACTTGCCCTGTTAGGATTGTAACTGGTTGGTTCTTAAGATATATTTCACTGACAAAAAAATTTATTTCATATTTGTTTTTCATTTAACCTGCTAAAAAGCCTATTTTTAACATGACTTACAGGTCACTTTGCCTCAATAAAATGGGGTCATGGTTGGGCAAAGATGTAACTGTTTAAATAGTCTTCTTATGTTTTTTAAAACTGACGCTGCTTTCGAGAGATTAACATTGCAGCCTTCAAATGTAGACAGATGTGCTAGCTGATTTAGCAACAGCAAAAAGTGGCCAATAGATTGCCTGTGTCAGTGAACCTGTGTCAGAATAACACCCTCACAGGAGATTCAGCTCATGCCTCAGAACACCCTCACAGGAGATTCAGCTCATGCCTCAGAACACCCTCACAGGAGATTCAGCTCATGCCTCAGAACACCCTCACAGGAGATTCAGCTCATGCCTCAGAACACCCTCACAGGAGATTCAGCTCATGCCTCAGAACACCCTCACAGGAGATTCAGCTCATGTCTCAGAACATCCTCACAGGATAAGCAGCAGATTCAGCTCATGCCTCAGAACATCCTCACAGGATAGGCAGCAGATTCAGCTCATGCCTCAGAACATCCTCACAGGATAAGCAGCAGATTCAGCTCATGTCTCAGAACATCCTCACAGGATAAGCAGCAGATTCAGCTCATGCCTCAGAACATCCTCACAGGATAAGCAGCAGATTCAGCTCATGCCTCAGAACACCCTCACAGGATAAGCAGCAGATTCAGCTCATGCCTCAGAACATCCTCACAGGATAAGCAGCAGATTCAGCTCATGCCTCAGAACATCCTCACAGGATAAGCAGCAGATTCAGCTCATGTCTCAGAACACCCTCACAGGATAAGCAGCAGATTCAGCTCATGCCTCAGAACACCCTCACAGGATAAGCAGCAGATTCAGCTCATGCCTCAGAACATCCTCACAGGATAAGCAGCAGATTCAGCTCATGCCTCAGAACATCCTCACAGGAAAGGCAGCAGATTCAGCTCATGCCTCAGAACATCCTCACAGGATAAGCAGCAGATCAGGATAAGCAGCAGATTCAGCTCATGCCTCAGAACATCCTCACAGGATAAGCAGCAGATTCAGCTCATGCCTCAGAACATCCTCACAGGATAAGCAATATATTCCCCAATAATCAGACTAGAAAGAGTCTTAAACACACAACACGATCCAAATTGGAGCCCTTCACTGGCCAATGAAGATGAGGACAGAGCACTTATGGAAAAGTCCAGAGTGCTGCGATGTCAGTTCTCAATTCAACACTCAACAGAACACTGGATACTAGACAGCACATATACTGACTGACAGTAAGTGATTCAGTAAAGAGATTACAATCCGATTCAGCTATCTGTTTTCTAAATATAATTGAGAAGCGGCAGGTCAAACAGTTGAGAATGATGGACACTCATGTGTGAGACCAAGATTAGAATCCTCTGTGAGGTCATATTTTTTCTTTGAGGGGGAGGGATCAAATTCTAACCTACAGTCTGTAGCGACAGTACTAGCCATGAGGCCCTAAATCCTAAGGCTCAAATATTCCCCTGCCTACACTGCAACAAAAGTGGTCAATAAGGCAGTAACTGAATCAACAGATTACAAACCGGTTCAGTTTATTTGCACTGCTTATATGATTGTAAGACTGAGCACTAATGCTCCATGGCAGGAGATTATAATGATCAATGAGTCCCTGTTCCTGGTGGAACAGGTCTATCACTGCCAGACCTCTGGACATCATCTGCTACAGATGGCCCACCCCCTCCCCCCAATATCTATGTCAATGTACAGAGAATACAAATCTGGACAGTTTAAACCAAAAACCACCTGATTAGCACTAGCTACCACAGCCTATTATAAACATCTGATCTACACACAAAGAAGTCAAATGAAAAACTTTATATTTTTAAACTGTAAATCTGTGCTAGGCCCTCAATATGGACAGAGAAAAAACCCACTGATTTAAAAAAAAATGTATCCCAATAGTTTAAATATTAAGCAAAATGTGTTTATGGCTAATAATCAGAACTGGTGGTCTTTAAATTTTTCCCTAGCACATGGGAAAAAACTTTTATATTCCAAATGTTTTCCTTTCTAAATAAACTGAACATAAAATGAAAAAGTTATACCTTTTTTTAAAGTTTTCTAACCGCTGGCACGGGCAAATGGCTAAAAGCAAAAACAGAGACACCACACAAATTTGCCATACAAGAAAATGCTACAAATGAAGCTAGTGTCTTATCTGCCGAGACTGTGTGCATGTGTGTGTTCTAGGTGATGAGAGAGCCATATGCACAAAAATTCAGTTGCCTTTTTCGATACCGCTCTTTTGCGGTTGCCAGGTTCAGCAGGTTTCTTTGCCCAGTCCAAAGTATCATCACCATTCATTATCTTAAACCTGCAAGCAAAAAAGTTGCGACATTGTCATCATCACCATCATTGTAACAGCAACCATCACCACCCATGAGGGAGTGCAAAGTCTGGTGGAACAAGACGCCCAATACAAGAACCTCACAAGGCACTGTACGGGTGAATGCTCTAGGACTGATTTGGTGACGGACATTTTGAAGAAAAAATATTTACGTGAACAAGAAAAACTGCTGCTCATTTTCCATCCTGAAGGACTTCATCAAAAGCAGTAGCAACACAGTCAAACATTAATTCGTGTTCATCGACACAGATAAATTCAATCTGTCAGCAAGATATCTAGAACATAAGATCTATATTCTATCAGTAAAACAAGAAAAGACATCAATCAAAGGTAATAATTGGCACTCGTGGCAGAGAATGGAAACTGGTGATCTGTAGATATAGATGATATCTTCGTATCCGCGTTCACCAGCTAAGTCTAGTTATGGAAAAGTTCTGGTTGTTCCTTTACTTCTGGACTAAATCTTGATTCAGAGTTGTGTGTGCACAGTTGTTTTACAGACTTATTTGATGCAGGCTGTTGGTGCCTCCAGGCAGATTTCTTCCAACTTAGAAGGAAACAGACCTGGTCAATCTCTAGGTCATTTATTTAACCCATCCATCCTGATACAGATCTAAACCTAGGACCTGCAGGCAGACAGCATGTGTCTGGCCACCCACTCACTGTGCCAGGCACATTTTTATCAGGAGCTAGCATACACTCAGTATGCCATAACCCCCCTGCATGGGATCCAGAATCCTCTTTTGAGGGGCAAAGAACAGGCCTATTGTCTTTCAACAAGCAAATCATCAAAGTTGACTATTTTGTTTGCTGAAATTGTACATGTTGAGCCAGAAGTTGCAGACATTACAGCCGAGCTGAATACCACACACAATGAGCCAAATACCCTTTTAAGGGTCAACACAAAAGAAAATCTCACAATAAGATAAAACTATTAATAATCTTGAGTCAACACTGGCTAAAAAAAAACGTTATCCTGTCAAAAAAAGCTGAGTTTCTCTGTGGCCATGTTAAGCGACATAGTGGCCTAGAGAGAGAGAAAAAACAACAGTGATGTGGGATAGTTTCTAGGGAAAAGAGGCAGAGACTGATCTCTGCGTAAGTGGATACAAGACACAGGTGCCCTTGCTATGAAAGCACATAGGGCTGAAGACTCAGCTGTGCCCTGAAGAGAGCAAACTGTTAACCGCTGACTGATAAAACTTACAATACTGTACAACAAAGTTTTGGTTTAAAACATGGCAGTGAGACCACTTTTCATAACAATACACATGATTTCAGGAAGTCTATTCTTTTACCTGAAGTGTGCGCTCAGAACCCACACAGGGAACTAATACTTTAAAACTGGTCAAAATGTTCCAGCATATTTCATGTAATAGTGTGGGGCTCATATTGTCTTTCTTAGCCTTCACCCTATATACACTCTAGCGGACAATTCTGGTTGTTCGTTTACTCGTGGACTTAAGTCTTGTTCCAGAACCTTAAGTTTTGCGTGCACATCTGTTTTACAGATCTCACTTATTTGTGAGCATACTGTTGGTTCCTTGCCTCTAGGTTGACGCACTCTCACTTTCACAGAAAACATCCCCGAACTAGTTTGTGCTTATTAGGCAGCAGTGAGCCTCTTCTTGTCTGTTCCCATAATGGGGCTCCAGGAACCATTTAGGGGAGACAATAACATAGTTTGTCGATAAATTAATGGATCATTAGAAATACTGCAACTATTAAACTTAAACTAGCATGGACGACAGTAATGATACAACAACTTGAATAAGTATAGGCACACCTTCAACTTCTGACTGAATAGACCGCCTCCATACGTATATCTAGGGTTGACAATTTCTCAAAATAACAATACATAATTCTGAGTGTTCACAGGCTGTAAACTTCTGGCTGTTCATCCACTTTGTACTCTGGTCTTGTTATAAACTAGTAGAACATGAGTTTCGCACACACACAGACGTTGCAGACAGTTGGTTCCTCTGCGCTCAGTCTCAAGCATGTGCACTTTGTTTTTAAATAAAACACTACTTAATTAGCTGTTTCCTACAAACTACAACATGCTTGTTGAGTTAGGAGTATGGGGAACAATGGGCATATTCTTGTTTTTACTGAAATTGGGTCCCAGAACCCACACAGAGACATACTAGAGATGACTGAGTAAACTTAGTTTAGCAATAATTAATTAAATGTTACTTTAATCACACCAAAAAATATTATAATATGAATAGAATATAGTAAATGTACAGTACATTGTACTATATGTAGTAAGCAGTATTTTAGAGATAGCCATAGTATTGAGTGTTTAAGACTGCTTCTTCGTGACATACATAAAAAATCGAACATGTGTTTTCAAAATTAACAGCTGACATTTGAGACAAAGACACAGTGACTGTCCAGCAAAGATGACATCTTCTTGATCTTGTCGAGTAGAATCGCCATCATTTGATTTTTTTTTTCATGTGACTGATAATGATAAAAATACGTTTACGTTACGAATGGATTTACAGGTCAACGGTTATAACAAACATATATTCATTCTACGCGAATACTAATGATGAAAATGCAACGTTAGTTAGAAAAACTTCGGTAATGACAATCAACACAGTACAACAACGAACGTTCCATCGTCCTAAACCACTAAACCGGGCGGTAATCACCAATCCAAACACGAAAAAAATCAAATGTTTCGGACTGCAGCCCCAGACTCTGTTTTGCTTATTTTATACCTCTATACATAAATATGTCGCAAAAGAAATAATGCATCCCCTAATTCTAGACTAAATATCATAAACTAGTAAATAAACTCACCATTCCCAGACGACAGATCAGCTAAAAGAGCCGTGTTGTGGAGGAGAAGTGTTGAGGCCAGCATGTCGCAGCCATCAAACTGTACAGACGTCAGGAGCGGGGCATTGTGGGTACAGTCGATGCGGAGACGACACATCAAATTCTTGTATTTCTTTTTATTATTTATAATTATTAAATTTTATATATAAAATAACTTTAATACATGTTAAACATTCAGTTATTAAAAAAATATAGATAATAATATTTTTTTCAGTCAACTATATGATTATTTGAAAACATGGTTTGGATTCTTATTAAATTTTATTTTTTGTAATTAAGAATTCAAAGAATTAATTTAGGCTATAATTTTGAATTATATATCCCTTAATATAAAATTTGAGAAAACTTACCTAAAGCCTAATTATTGCAAACAATTTAATTATTACTGCAGCATATTTTAAATGATGTGTCTAGATAGACAACCAATCCGATATTTTCACCGTTGACAAGAACGCTAAAATGGCTGTTTGTTATTTTACGTTCTCGTTCATATTTACCATTTTTGTAAGTTGCCGTGATAATTCTTTATATAACGTCGTGTGAAATTTACAGACCGACAATACAACTGGAGATATAGTTAACCAGTGACATTTTAATTAATATATTATTATTAGTAACAGGGCTTGAATGGTGCCGGTAGGCGTTGTTAGCCGTTACTCGCCAAAAAAGTGTCTAAGTCTATAGTAACTTACTAATAGACACGTTTGGGTTAGTACCCGAGTTTATAAGTACAACATGTTTGTTGAGTTGGGGTATAGAGAACAATTCTTTTTCCACCGAAAAGGGGTTCTAGAAAAACAATGGGACATAGTACTATAGACGACTTAGACTTAGTAAACTTTAGAGTTAGAGCAATAATTAATGAAATATTATAACTTTAATTACCCCAAAGTCATATAAATATTGTAAATGTACTAAGTAAGCAGTGCTTTAGAGATAGCCTTAGCATTGAGTGTTTGAGACTGCTTCTTCATGAAAATACATCAAAGAATTTTGTGAAAAAAGGCAACAGTACCACATTCAAGTTTATAAGTAAAAGTGCTAACTTTTTTTGTGAATTATCCCTCTGTTCAGCTTCATTTGTAGAAACAAGTACAGCAAGATAAGTATCATCATCATCATCAGGTGCCTTGTCGACTGGCATGGGCGATCATGCCACTCCATAATCCACAATCTCCTGCAGCATGTATCAGTTCGTGTGCCGACACACCTCCATGCCATGTAACAAGACTGTCAAGAATCTTCTCTCATTGTCTTCCTCTATCCCTCCTTCCACTGATCTTTCCAGTGGTCGCGAAATGTTCTATTTTCCCTCTTCTCATAACATGGTCGAAAAATGATGACTGTCTCTTTCTGATGTCTATGATAAGTTGTCTTCGGGCTCCCGCCTTTTTCAAAACCTCTCGGTTGATTGTTTTGGCTGTCCAAGGTACTCTAAGCATACTTCTGTAAAACCACATCTCTGAGGCCTCAAGAAATTGTTTGGCCTGCCTACCGATTGTTGAGGATTCACAGCCATATGTTAAAACTGGATGTATGTAGCAAGCAAGAATTCTTTTTCTAACTCTCAATGACAAGGATATATTGCACAAGATATTCTTCATTTTATAAAATGCAGTTTTTGCCTGTCCTATTCTGTTTCTCATCTCAGTTATGCATTTTCCATCTGATGTTATCAATGTGCCCAGTTACTTAAATTTCTGTACTTGTCCTAAAATAACACTATTGACTTTTATTACACATTTAGAAATAATTCAAGATAAGTTTATGGTATGATTATATAACAATACTGACATGATCTGTTATTCTGGTGATCATGTGAGATGACAGATCCTGACCTATGTTTGTCAGCACGGTACATTATGATGATGATATTCAATGAAAGTATCATGAGGCAACTGCTCACCACATGAGGCACCAAAAACATATCGTGCTAGCTCCATATTGTTATAGACCAGTTAACAAATGTCCCATCTCTACATCCCAGGAGATTCCCAGACTTTTAAACATTTGTATTCCCTGTTGGGTTTTGAGGCCCCATTTTAATTGGGGGAAAAACCCACTGCAGCCTTTCCCCTCCCTCTGCCCCCTTAAACATGTCGTAAAGGTTCTAATTAGGTGTGTATCCGTCAAAGTGCATCTGTCCCAAGGACCAACTGTCTGCATATAAATAAATCAGAAATTTCTGGAACAAGACCAAAGTCCAGACGTGGATGAACAACCAGAGTTTACAGCCTGTGAACAAGGAAGAAGAATGGAAGGAAGAGCTTTAGAAGAGAGGGATGACTATCAGTATCTCCAAAACTAAAACCATGGTGATCTCAAGAGTGGAGAAGAAACACCAGATCATGATGGGGCAGTATGCATTGGAGCAGGTCAATCAGTTCAAATACCTTGGAGTTGTATTAGACTGAAATGGAGGCTGGCTACACGAAAAGCAGCTGCTGGGAGATTCTTCCAGGCCATAAACTGAGGGTTTCTTAGCAAAAGAGAAATTGGCACGAGGAAAATGGATGTTTACTGCTTTACCTATGTACCAGTCCTGACCTATGGTTGTGAGTCATGGGCAATGACAACAGTTCACTGAAGCCAGCTTCATGCCTCAGAAATGAGATATCCAAGAAAGGTGGTCCAAGTGACAAGAAGGGACAAAGTCCGCAATCAGACAATACGTCAAGATCTTGATACCCTTACAAACCCGAGTGGATCAGTCACAGTTACGATGGTTTGGACATGTATGCAGAATGGGAGAAAATCGGCCACCATGGGAGGCCAAGAACCAGGGAACCAGACCACCAGAACGAAACAGGTTGTGCTGGGAAGACAACATCCGACAGTCCCTAACTGACAGAGGACTGGAATGGAACAAAGCCAGAAAGAAAACTGCTGATAGAGACGTCTGGCGATCTCTCTAGCAAACCTCTACACCCCAAGGTAGAAGAGGAGTAAGTAAGTAAGAACAAGGAAGAAGAAGAATACTAAGTGTACTATAATTATTCTAGGAGAAATATACATTAGGCTGAAAATACGACTATTTATCAAGGTGGATTGTGGTCTGTAATGTGAAAATATTCAGCAGTTCAATATTGTAGATGCCAGAAATACATTGTAGCAGTAGAGAGTTATATTCTTCTTCTTCTTCGTGTTCACCGGCTGTAAACTCTGGCGGAAAGTTCTGGTTGTTCGTCCACTTCTGGACTGCTGTCCTGTTCCAGAACCTGAGTGTTGCCTGTGCACCCGTTTGACAGATCTGACTCATTTGTTTGCAGACTATTGGTTCCTGGCCTCTCAGGCAGATGCACTCCGACTTCGAAGGAAGCTTCCAATTTATCGACTCTTACGACATGCTTTTGGGTAGGCAGTGGGTCTATTCTTGTTTTCCCTATAATAGGGCCCTGGAACTCACACAGGGAAGACTTATATTGAAATGTTAACTGTTCAGATTGTCCCTTTCAGATGTCCCATGAGGAACATGTTTAGGTCTATGTGAAGTGGTCACTTCATGCAGTAGTCTATGACAGCAACAAAATGTCCAGTGGTGGATTTGAAGTCAAAGGTGCAAGAGCTCCCTCAGTCTTGTCCAGTCATCGACCGAAATCATCAACTAAAAATGGCTACCATATTTTAGCACACACGTCTTCGGTGGATGAATTGTTATTTAGGTATTGTAAAAAAAAATGTTCATGTGTGTCATTGTGATTTATTAGGCACATCCTGGAAAGAAGAGCAGATAATCACCAGACAGGCACTGAGATAGGAAACAAATGGGTATAACCTAAAATAGATGGTAGAGGAATAGACTGCAAGTCGTGTGTGACCAATAATAGATTAACAGGATGAGGTCAAAGACGCTGACCTGCCTGTTTGAATGTACTGGGTTTGATTTCACAGTCACATTTTTCTTTAAATTGACCTTGGTACCCAGGTTGGCCCAGCCTAAAATGGGTAGCAGGCTGTGGGAAGTAAAGGTGGCTGGCGTGATGTTGGCCACATCACTTACCAAGGGTCGATCGACCTATAAATAAAATGAGGCTAGCATGATGTGCCATTGACGTAGGAAGGGTCCTTTACTTCCCACTATCAACATAGACCTTCTCTTTGTGTGGGTTCTAGGGTCCCATTATGGGCCAAAGTATAATAGACCCCAGGGTCCCATTGTGGGCCAAAGTATAATAGACCACAGGGTCCCATTGTGGGCCAAAATATAACAGACCCCCTTTCCCCAGCAAGCAAACTGTTCAGTGCAACTAATTAGAGAGGTCAGGAACCATGTTTCTGCAACAAGACTCAAGTCCAGAAGTGGCCAAACAACCAAAACTTTCTGCCAGAGTTTACAGCTGGTGAATGCCAAGAAAAGGGGTCATTGACTTTCTAGAAATATTTCCTTCAGTTTGTCTCTTCTGCCGCTGATCTTTCCAGATTTGATAGCCAACGCCAAGGCACCTGGACTAGAAAGATAAAAGTTAAAGTCGAGAAGATCGGCTTCATTGCATTGGGTTTTGTCCCATACAGTTCAGTCTCCCTCCACTTCCTGTGTGGGTCCCCGGGCCCTATCATGGGGAAAACAAGAATCGACCCACTGCCTCCCCAACAAGCGCTTGTCCGTAAGAGTTGACTTACTTTCGACCCCACTAGGACATCACACAAGCGATAAACACCCGTTAACACACAGTGCAACCATGTGGATGAGGATCACCGTGGAGAGGTCTCAGAAACCGCATTCAGCCAATTGGCCATATTTATGACCTGGCTATATTGCGGCCCCTGGCAATAGCCAGGTGGGGCTTCAAATAATGAAAAATTTCATCCTAAAAAGGACGGTGAATGTTTGTAATATTTTCAACCCATTCATAAGAGTTACCTAATAAAAGAAAATTAATTCTTTTAAATTGTGAGGGAAATAGTTTGACCGTTTCACCATGGGCACCGCTGGTCTGTAAGAAGATATATGTGTCTATATATAAAACTACTTACCTAGTGGATCCTCTTCTACACTGGGGTGTCGACATTTGCCAGAGAGATCACCAGACGCTCTATCAGCAGTTTCCTTATATAAAACTATCATGAAATCATTCCTTTGCATAGGAAATTCTTACCATGGCTATCCAGAAATGCTGTCATACTCTTTATCTCCCTTTGTCTTGTGGATGTTCAAGCTCTTTGCCATTCTGGGTTTACATTTGCTTTTGCTTCACTCCTGCCTTGTCTTTCAGGAATATTCCTTTAATTATATTAGAGTCCTCTCTATGTGGGCCCCAGCACCCCATTTTTTAAGGATGGGGGGGAAGGAATTTACCCACCGCTTTTTATCAAGTGTGTCGTAAGAAGGTAAGTAATTTGGGATATTTCTTCAGGAGGACCACATCTGTCTGAAAGGTGAAAAACCAAAAGTCTACATACAGCAGATTGGTAAAACTGGTGTGCATGAACAAATTCAAGTTCTGGAACAAGATTAAAGTCCAGAAGTGGACAAACAACCGGAACTTTCTGTCGTAGTTTACAGCTGGTAAATACCAAACAGAAGAAGAGTTCCTGAGAACATCCTCTGTGGTGAATTAAAGATGGGTATACTACGATTGCAAGCAGGACATGAATGATATAAGTATTGAGATGGATTTATGGCAACAGGTTGCCATCGACTATGTTGCATGTGGGTGGAATATACTGACTTACTTACTTAGTCGCTCCTCTTCTACCTTGGGGTGTAGAGGTTTGCCAGAGAGATCGCCAGACGTCTCTATCAGCAGTTTTCTTTCTGGCTTTGTTCCATTCCAGTCCTCTGTCAGTTAGGGACTGTCGGATGTTGTCTTCCCAGCGTGGGTGGAATATCAGGACGGGAAAAACAGGAAAAGGAGAAAAATGAACGCAGATAGGTTAAAAACTCAGTATTTGAGATGAAAAATGTCAAAAACCTCTCATGGCAACATTGGTCCTGAAGTCTTTTGCACTTTTTATTGATACTTTTCTTAACGCAAGCTGACTTTGCTGGCTTCTCACCATCGCCATGAGGTGTGATTCCCATGTTGTCTCCTCACAATAGAATCTAGCACTGTTGTCTGGAAATATGAAAAGATGCCTATACATGAATATATACACACACAAAAATGTAACATTTTTTTCTCCAGCTCTCAGCACCCTTCTAGACTGAATGATCCTATCATCAATTTTAAAGCACCTTGGGACCACCCAAAGCCACAACCTCCATTTCATACATTTGGAACTGTACAAGAAAAAATAGAAACCAGGAACAAAGTGCGAGGGCCACCCCTTCTGTGGTGCCCTGCACCAGGTTCGGCCACACACACTAGAGAGAAAACTAAAACCAGGTCAAGTGTAGATGATGCTGGCTATCTCTGGAGCACCCGGGGTCACTTTCGGCACCTGAAGCATAAGCCAACTTTTGTTGATGAAACTTTGTTTGGTCCAAGGTTGGAAGAACCTTCCTTTAAGGCTCCTTGGGATGTTAAAAAGAACTCAGAGATGAAACATTCAAACTACTGTAATGTAGATGTGGTAGACAACAAGGAGGCATTGACCCATGGTGCTCTAAGCGATTTCAGGCGAACAAGTATTTCTCGTCCAGAATCTGCTCGTGGAGTTTCTGGCCATCCTGAGCCGCAGAACCATGGTGCTAAAGTAGTCAAACCAGTCTGGAAGCCGTGACTCAGAATAATTGTTTCAATTTATTTTGTTTTCTCTTTCTGCTCTCAAAGGGTGGTTGGTTGGTACCTTGTGTTGTGATTTACCTACCCCAAAGCTGTCATATCTGCTCCTTAAGCTCAACCCATCAGATTTAACTAAGCTTCTAATTATTCACCTCTGCTACGTGCTTATGGGGGGAAGGGGCAGTGAAGCTCTCCCCCCCCCCCCCTTCCCTTATGGGCCTTGGAACCAGTTCAGGGAATTTCAGTTTTAACTATAATGGCTTAATCTTCATTACTTTTATTGTTGGTTTTTGTAGCATTTTTTGCATTGTTACTTTCTTACTTACTTAGTCACTCCTCTTCTACCTTGGGGTGTAGAGGTTTGCCAGAGAGATAGCTAGACTTCTCTATCAGCAGTTTGTATTGTAACAAATGTGTTACTAATTGTCAGCTCACAATATGTGATAGTTATTGATGATTGCCACCATTGCATTATAAGGGCCAGTTTATCTAGTAATTTTTAACTGACCTTACTAGCCAGCAAAAATTGCTTAGCTGTCCAGAGTTTTCCCACCCTGCTTTAAGGCATCTGAAACTACAACATGCAGTGGTTTACTGAGTGGTTAGAAAATGAGTCTGAAGCCATGTGTTTAGATCTCTGATTTGTTGGAATCTAGTTTCAAAAATATATAATGACAGTGTTATTGTAATGACAGCTTGACTACAGTGACAGCATCGGTGCAGTGGTAGCATGGGTGCAGTGTTCACATGGATGCAGTGGTAGCATGGGTGCATTGACAGCATGGGTGCAGTGTTCGCATGGGTGCAGTGGTAACATGGGTGCAGTGATAGCATGGGTGCAGTGACAGCATGGGTGCAGTGACAGCGTGGGTGCAGTGACAGCATGTGGGTGAGGTACAGTGACAGCATTCAACAAAGAATTCTGGATGGTGATATAGAAATTCTGTAGTGCTAAGCAGATTGCTGATACCACGTCCGCAGCTGTACTAAAAAATTCAGTAGAAGTGACAAGTAGTTATAGTGAGAAGTAAAGTGCTTGGAAAAAGCATTTATAAACATTTAATTTTTAAATCGTTTTACATGGTAAATTACAAAAAACAACACATATTATTTCATTATTGTTTGAAATTTATAATATTACTTTACATTGTATTTGATTTTCTAATATAAAGCAACAATTACATACTTCCTTCCCTTTGTTAAACTTACATTGTATTTTGATTTTCAACATAAAATATTCGTTATTGATTTTATAAAGACATTAAAGTTGTTTGCGTTGTGTTGCTGTTTTCTTCTTCTTCTTCTTCTTTTATGTTCACTCACTAGCTGTTAACTCCAGCAAAAGGTTCTGGTGGTTGTTCATCCATTTCTGGAGTTTGGTCTTGTTCCAGAACTTGATGCTTGTATGTACAAATCTGGCTTATTTGTGTGCAGACTGTTGGTTCCTTCCCTCTCCGGCAGATGCCCTCTGACTCCAAACACTAAAAACAAAACTAATATGGACATATTTCTTTTTATGAGTAGTCTGTACATAAACCTCCTCTTATTATTCACAATTTGTTTTTAAGTTGTTGGGGAGGGTGGTGGCGTACCATCCGTCACCTCCGGGACCTGGGAGAATCAAAGCTGGGGGTTCCGGGTCCCCATTGTGGGCAAAACAAGAATAGACCCACTGCCTTTCCAACAAGAGTGACAAGGAACAACCAGCTGCACACAGATAAGCCAGTACAATGGACGTACACTTGAAACTCAGGCCCTGGCACAAACACAAGTCCAAATGGACTAACAACCAGGACTTTCCGCTAGAACTTACAAACGGTGGAAATGGAAGAGGCTGTACATTAAAGGATATACTGTACCTTAATAACGATCACCAGTGGAAATTTTTTGTTTAAAGCTGCATGCACAATTATATCTTATTCTTGGAAACCAGGGTGAGTTAAGGCTTTGATGTTACGAACACGCTTTGTAATTTGGAGGTAACAGGTTTGATCTCAGCTGCGGGCGATTTAGCACCAGACCGCCTTGTGTCGGTTTCAACAGTGGTATCGAGATCCAACCGTTTATGTAACAGCACGTCTTCAGGTATACAGGGCTAGACTTTTATTTTATGGACCAATTGACACTCGGTGTGTGATGAAAGCAGCATCTCGCCGGTCACCTTTACTTTCCAGGACTTTTCCTTGTACCAAATTAAGTCTGGGTCGAAATGGAAGCCAAGGTCATTTTAAGCTAAATTATACTTAATGACCAATAAGTTCAAATGTCCACCGATCGATTGAGTGTGCCAGGATTTGTGGACTGTCTGTTAGCTTTGTAAAGGGGCAGGCAGTGCTGAGCGGGAAATTCAACATCCGGGAGTGGGACTAAGCTGTCAGTCGGGACCAGACGACTCCCTGAATTAGCACAGTTCCTGCGTCGGCTCTGCATTTTTAGAAGCTTCCTTAGATTACAGGAATTGTCATATTTTGTCCCTGCTTTCTCGCGGTGTGTGTGTTCAACCCCAACAGGACCGTACAACAAGTGACCAACACTCGGTGACACAAAGTGTCACCAACTCACGGGGGCCTACCCTCAAGTATGGGGTTATCCTGGACAGCAGTGTTGCCACTTTGAATATTTTACATCCAGATTTAGATATTTTCCCTTGCATTTAGATGGCGTTTTTGACGTTTAGATGGTAGATGTTTTTATTTGGAGTGAATTTATCAAATCTAACCTAGGAAACAGGATGAAATTTGACCCTCTTAAATGCTATCTTGACAATAAAATTCGACCTAATAAGAGTAGGAAAAGGCTGTTCCACTTATCAGCTCCCTGATCGGTACTAAAAGAAATTGGAACAGCTAAAGCATACCAGAGTCATTTTGTATCTGAAGCTTCAACTTCATCATCCAAGCTAAGTTTATCCTGTGGATCTTGTGAGGCAGACTTCAGTAAAGATGAGGACATGATTCTATAGGATAAGTCATTTCAATTGCTATGTAAATTGTGACTTTTTCCAATTTGATGTTTTTTTTTTCTAGATGTTTTCCACGCAAATGTAGATGTTTTTATATATTTTTTGACTCCGTTTTGGATGTTTTTTGTCAAAGAAAAGGGGCAACATGCTGGACAGGCCTGCTAGAAACTGATATGTGACAGCCTCAGATTCAAGCTGTTGTCTACGGGCCTAGCTCATCTCTGTCTTCTTGAGCATTCACATTGTTGCGAATGTCTGTGTGAAGTGCCGTGTCTCCAGCCATGTTATTGCTTTAGTTACTGCATATAACCTCCAATAGTGAATCTGCTCTGTTTAGGGAACAAGCAATAGAATCTTGCTTTGTAATTCTCCTTTTAAGCCGAGCCGCAAAATCCAATGAGCTTTTCAGGTTTAGAACGACAGACCCGTCTGGTTAAATTTCACAATAAAAAGAATTTTGAAAACAAAAAAATCAAAACCTGAACTTCTGCGTCTACGGCCGTCGGATTGTATTGTCGGCATTTTCTGTCTAAACAGATGTGTATTGGAAAGGACGAACATCACCATTTGGCATTGTTTTCATTGTACGCAGTGTTCTGTGTCATTACGTGAAGATGCCTGTTGAATAATGTCATCGGCTTGACCTAATTACGTGTATAGTACAATATTTGTTCTTACGATCCATATAGTGCTCAGACACTAATCACCCTGCCTTTATCAGCCTTCTGTCTCAGGTACTGCCGGTCCTTTCTGAAACTTATGTACCTCCATGTCATGGTGCTGTCCATGAACCTCCCTTTCCAGTTCCCCGCCGTCACACTATACCACAATTTACTCCCCTTCCGATGACCGTTCCCCAAGAAATGGGATTGTCTTTTTGGTGCCAATTTCCGTAAAATGTCTTCGGAACGCCTATGATCTTTCAATGATGCTCTCGTCACTATTCTTTGCAATCATATTTGCAGCTCCATATAACTGCTTAGTGAAGTGCTCAGTGTGAATGATTCTCCTCCAGACATCACAACTGGTTCTGCACACCCTAACCAAACTATTTTTCTCACGACTGACGAAAGATCAATTAACTGTTCTCCGTGTGGGTTCCAGGGCCCTACCCTTATTGAAAACAAGAAAAGACCCAATGCCAGCCCTCAAGCATGTCGCAAGAGTCGACTAATTGGAAGCTTTCTTAGAAGCTGGAGTGCATCTGCCTAAAAACAAGGAACCAACAGTATGCATTCAAATGAGTCAGATCTGTAAAATGAATTCGCACGCAACACTCAGGTTCTGGAACAGGACTGAAGTCAAGAAGGGGAACGAATAACCAGAACTTTCCTCCAGAGTTTACAGCTGGTAAACACGATCAAGACAGAAGAATTCGAATTGAAATGTATTGAATGCAAAACCTCCCCCAGAGAAATATCTACGTTGCCACAGTGGGGAAGCTAGTGTTTCGTGGTGACCCTGGGAGCTACTCTGGCTGTAGTTTAGCCATTACTGTCCGTATTTTCTACTTTTGCGGTATAGGTAAGGAAGTGGGTGGGAAGGGGGTATCTGCTACCGACATCAGGCCTCCAAAGCTGGGCTGTCAATGGTTAGAGAACAGGCATAGAGAAAAGCACTGGAGGATGGGGATTTGTAAAACTTCATTTCGCTATGAAAGAGATAAATAAGTCTGCAAATCGAATGAGTTTAAACGGATATTTGAGGCGGAAAGTCCTGGTTGTTTGTTCAAGTCTGAACTTTGCTACTTCTTTTTCTTCCGTTCACAGACTGTTATCTTCGGTGGAAATTCCTGGTTGTTTGTTCAAGTCTGAACTTTGCTACTTCTTCTTCTTCCGTTCAGAGACTGTTATCTTCGGCGGAAAGTTCTGGTTGTTTGTTCACTTCTAGACTTTGGGCTGGTTCCAGGCCTTGAGTGTCGCGTACACATCCGTTTTACAGAGCTGGACTCTTTTGTATACTGGCTGTTGGTTTCCTGCCTCTCGAGTAAATGCTGCCTCGACTTCGAGGACATAGTTACGTTGGCAGCCCGCTGTTTGGGAATATGTTTCTTTTATGACCGTGGAGAGGTGTGGATATGTCTTGACCAGTCAAGCCCTTATCCGTTGCAACACGATGTGTGGTTCATCCCAACTGCAAGCCTACTGTGTGGAGGTTCACTGAATGGAAGGTTTATTGTATGGAGATTTCACTGAATGGAAGGTTCACTCTATGGATGATTCATTGTTTAGAATGTTTACTGTGTGGAGTGTTCCATGTTTAAAAGGTTCACTCTTTAGAAAAGGGGCTACTCATTGTCTCGAAGAGTTACCTAGTGAAACTTCAGCGAATACAGAAGGCAGCTATGCGGGCGATCCTCGAATGTAAAAGAGACACCCCGGTTCTGTGCATGCGATACATCATTGCTTTGCCGACTAGTGCAGATAGGTTAAAGGTGCTACAGGCTAATTCATACCTCAGAGTAGCTGTAAAGAGCACCCTTTGTGTGAAGTTTTGGTTGCATTTAAGGGTAAGAGTCTGACAAGGGGAAATTCATGGATGGCTCAAACAGAAAATCTTTAGTGCAGGACAGCCTAGACACTTTATGTCTCCGTTCTTTAGATTAGTTGGATATGTACCACTGGGGGTGTATTGATACGTGACAAGGTAGATGTGGTCAAGACCCTTATGGAACTAGTAACGAAGTCAGAAGAGAAACTAGATTATTATGGCCTGAAAAGAATGATGCACCTGGGTGTGACCAGAGGGTCTGGCCGGTTCACTACACTCAGAGGAAAGACAAGACAGACATTCAGCCAGACTACGACCGGTGCAATTAGTTTTGGAACGCTGCTTTGGCTGCTGAAGATGGAGACGGATCGCGTATGGGAATGCCCCGAGTGCTGTGATACCAATTCCTAACTCAACCAGCTCTCTAGTAGATTCACTATGTGGCCCAACACAATGTAACTTTCATGATTTGCGCGTTGTTTAGCCGAGCCCAGAAACTTGGCGTCTGTTTCCGGTCCGGCGAGCCCAGCGAATCATGCTACGTGTAACAGAGCCAGCCGGTGTGTAGTCGTGTACACACGTCGCTAGCAAACTTTGCTTTGTTTTACTCAATAATAATCTTGCAAAGCATCGTGTTTTCTTGGAATTGGGTAAATACTTTCCTTACACATCTTTTATACCAGAGCGTTTGATCTTTATTTGTAATGTTTCTCTAACGAACGGCAAACCATGAAGGATTCCAGTGTAGTGAGATGGCCGATGGTGGTAAGTTAGTAGAGCCGGAGCCGCTAGAGTCTAGACTGAGACTATCGCAGCAGTAACAGTAACAGTTGCAAAATCTGGGATACTCCTAGTACTTCAGAGTCTATTCATTCACATTCACTCATAATATTGTAACTAGGTCATATTGTAACGAATCTTGCAAATGCTATCTTTTCTAACATGCATTTGTTATACCCAGATAAAGAGTTACGTAACGTTAACGTATGTTATATTATTACTATTTATATATGCTTACGCTTACAAGACCTTGCAACCACTCCTCGATCTCATTTTTCACCCCTACACTTCTCCATCCTTTTTATACATTCAGTCACACACTCCTCCATCCTGTTTTATACATTCACTCACACACTCCTCCATCCTGTTTTATACAATCACTCACACAGTCCTCCATCCTGTTTTATACATTCACTCACACTCCTCCATCCTGTTTTATACAATCACTCACACTCCTCCATCCTGTTTTATACATTCACTCACACACTCCTCCATCCTGTTTTATACATTCACTCACACACTCTCCCAGCCTGTTTTATACATTCACTCACACACTCCTCCATCCTGTTTTATACATTCACTCACGACATTTGCTTTATACATTCACTCCTCACACTCTCTTTTTTAAACAACACTTCCCAGCTCTACTTTTCTCCCAACATTCACTCACACACTCTCCCAGCCTGTTTTATACATTCACTCACACACTCTCCCAGCCTGTTTTATACATTCACTCACACACTCTCCCAGCCTGTTTTATACATTCACTCACACACTCTCCCAGCCTGTTTTATACATTCACTCACACACTCTCCCAGCCTGTTTTATACATTCACTCACACACTCTCCCCGCATACTTTCACTCACACACTTCTCCCAGCCTGTTTTCATTCAGTGTGCTTATCATTTATCTATCATTTTACTATTTTCTTACTTTGGCAGGTCAAGTGAGGTCAAAGATCATGAAGAAAATACAGGGAACATGGGGCCTACAGTGGCTGATGCGGATGTCGCCGGACAAGCAAGATACACTGCTGAAGATGGTCATACTGACCCTTGCTGCCATTTTGTGTAAGTAAAGATCCTTACATTGAGTCATTGAGTTTGTTGATGTGTGTGATCTTGTGGTGAGAATGTCGGCGACCATCAATTCCTAGAAGACCATGGAGTTGTGTCCCTGGGTTTTGTCAATAGTGTCTGCTATGACTGTAAAGTCCAGTGTGGGAGTAGGGTAGTCCTGTCAAATAGTCCACATAAAAACATTGATACTCTATTATACTTGTGCTGGTTTTCTCTCAGACATCTCCTTTCTGTAGCTTTCTGCATTAGGCCCTCTTGCAAAGTGTGAATTTTGAATTTCCATCTATCATTGTCTGCGTCAGAAAGAGCTGGTCTGATCTTGTAGTGTTAAAATAAAAAGCTTATTTGTGTGTAGGAAATTCATTGTTTAGTGGAAAGCACACAATATTGGTTGTGTCAACTGACATATGTGATAGTGTTTGCTGGAATATATGTTGTCTCTTAAATGTATGGTAAAAATGTTATTATAACAGGTAGTTACAAGTATAGATGCACTCAGTTTCAACATATTGATACCCCTCTTTGAAAACCAGAGTTTTCCCATATTTAAAACCACAGCTTTCCCAGATTGAAAACCACTGTTTTCCCACGTTGAAAACCACAGCTTTACCAGGATGCAAACCACTGCTTTCCTAGATTCAAAACCACAGTTTTTCCAGATTCAAAACCACATCTTTCCCAGATTTAAAGCCACAGCTTTCCCACATTAAACCACTGATTTCACAGGTTAAAAACCACTGCTTTCCCACGTTGAAAACCACAGCTTTACCAGGATGTAAACCACTGCTTTCCTAGTTTCAAAACCACAGTTTTTCCAGATTCAAAACCACATCTTTCCCAGATTTAAAGCCACAGCTTTCCCACTTAAAAACCATAACTTTCCCAGGTTGTCAACCACACTGCATTTCAGTGTTGAAAACCACTGCTTTCCCAGATTAAAAACTACAGCTTTCCCACATTAAAAACCATAACTTTCCCAGGTTGTCAACCACACTGCATTTCAGTGTTGAAAACCACTGCTTTCCCAGATTTAAAACCACATCTTTCCCACATTAAAAACCATAACTTTCCCAGGTTGTAAACCACTGTTTTCACAGATTCAGAACCACTGCTTTCCCACTTTGAAACTACCGCTTTCCCACGCTTAAAACATCTGCTTTACATGCAGTTTATGTATGTTTCCACAGCTTTCTCAACACGTCTGTTCTCCGTGTTGCGATTTGAGAGTGTCATCCACGAGTTTGATCCATACTTCAACTACCGAACCACCAGATTCCTAGCAGAGGAAGGATTCTACAACTTCCACAACTGGTTCGATGACCGGGCCTGGTATCCTCTCGGGAGGATTATTGGCGGCACAATTTATCCTGGTGAGTAACATTATTGGTAACCTAATCTGCTTTAGTGAAATCCTACTTCAAGGAAATGGATCATTAACTTGTTTAGATAGTAATGTAGATAACACTTGGAAAACAGATTTCTCATGTTTAGCTGTCTCTCGCTGTAAGATCAGGAAGATAGTTCTGTTTGTTCATATGCTGACGGATGATTTTCATCTTCCACAACTTGACTTTTGTGTACACATCCGTTTTACAGATCTGGCTTATTTATATGCGAAATGTTAGTTCCTTGCCCCTCAGGCAGATGCTCTGCAGCTTCAAATGAAATACTCCTAATTAGTAGATGTATTCCTTTTCCATCCAAAATGGGGCTTTGGAGCCCAAATGGGGATCCAGTAGCCCCATTTTGAGGGGGGGGGGAATCAATAGACCTGCTTCCCTTTGACAAGCATGCCATGAGGCGACTGAGGTTTTGCTGTAATTCAATGTATTGGGTTAAAAAGTGTTAATATCACTGTCTAGCTGTAAACCCCAACACGGCGTGCCAACTACCCTTTTAAGGTTAAATGCAGAAGAAGAAGAAAAAAAATATTAAAATGATAGCAGTAGAAAATTACACCAAACTTACAATATTTAACTCTTATTAACACCAAATCACAAAATAGTCTTTTGCTTTAACACAGAATACTGTAAAACTTTCTAAATACAAACTACCTTGAGAAGAACACTCAGTTAACCTGAACAAAATTTGTCTGTTTACAGCAACGCTGTTTTATTTGCCCCTTTCAGCTGATACATCCAACTTCATCAGGCGTTTCTTTACCAGCTTAGACTTTCTGTTTGGTTTCATTGGACATGATGTGGCCTTATTTGTGTAGTGTTGTCTCTCTTCTCTGTCTGCAGGTGTTGCACCTGGAAAACCCATCTAGGACAGCCTTACATTGACTGGTTAACCCTCAGAGGAAGGCAGGGAGAGATCATTTGTATTTCCTGTCATCCAGCGAGGCTTTCATAAACGCTCACCCAAGGAAACGTCACGTTCCTGCAGGGATGTTTAATTATTAGTTCCCATGTGGCCTCCCGAGTCCCACTGGGGGGGGGGGGGGGGGGGGGAAACGGGGGGGGACACTACCTTCCCAACAAGCATGTTGTAAGAGTAAACTAATTCAGGGCTTTCTTCAAAGTCTGAGTGCATCTGCCAGAGAGGCAAGGAACCAACAATCTGCATGCAAATAAGTTAGATCTGTAAAACATATGTGCATGCAACACTCTGGTTCCTGGAACAAGACTAAAGTCCAGAGGTGGACAAACAAACAGAACTTTCCACCAGAGCTTACAGCTGGTGAATGAAAAGACGAGGAAGAGATTGGTTCCTAATTTGCATACCTTTTTTTTTTACATAAGCTCTTGATTTGTCAATCTCGTGAAATTTGTGTTAACAAGGTTTTTACTGTTTTGACAAAATGTCATGTCCGAACATGTTTGTTCTGAACAGGTCTCATGGTGACCTCTGCCCTCATCTACCATGTGATGAATTTTTTACACTTGACCATCGATGTGAGGAACGTCTGCGTGTTTCTGGCACCCTTGTTCTCCAGCTTCACCACAATTGTGACTTTCTACTTCACCAAAGAGCTCAAGGTTTGAACATTTCTAGATATCTGAGTGTCAGTTTGTCCATCTGTGTGTATAATATATATATATTCATACACATGCATGCATGCGCTCTTACACACACACACACACGCACTGTTGTTTTTAGATCAGCCAACATTTTTAACATCTTATGGAGCCATTGTGCCCTAGTACATTACTGTGATATTTTGTGTTTTACTATTTCCCCTGTTAGAGACAAGAACACTGACCTGATTTGTGATTCTGGTAATCATGTAAGATGGTGAAACCTGACAGCCTACACTTATCACCCCGCACATGATGATGATATTTAACAAATAGCTTCTGTTATGACCTCCAATGTGTGCCCAGTGACATTGTAGATCAGATTCAGTTGTTTCTTTGCGTTTGAAAACCTGAGATGATGGTGCGGCGGGACATGTCAGCAGGCTCTGGACCTCCATCCAGACTGAGGGATGGGGGAAGGCAAGATGGGTAGTTAACCGAATGACAGTGGGTACCATCAGCAGGTCGGGGTGGAGCTGATGGGGGCTTGTCCTGAATGCTGTGATGTCTGTTCATTTTCAGTTATATGTTGGGACATTTGCAAGTTTGAGTGTGTGTGTTTTTGTCTTTTTCAGGATGCCTCTGCCGGTTTGGTGGCTGCCTCTATGCTGGCAATTGTCCCCGGATACATTTCCCGTTCTGTGGCTGGGTCCTACGATAATGAAGGCATTGCCATTTTCTGCATGTTGCTGACCTACACTCTGTGGATCAAAGCTGTGAAGACTGGCTCCATCTTCTGGGCCTCCTTTGTGCTCTTTAGCATACTTTTACATGGTGAGTGCCGTTATCTGGTCTTCTGTGAGATATTTCCTTATGTGAATGCCTTTCTCGATTCCTGTATTCTCTATTGAATATTTGTACATTTGGACCTTTTAAAAACGAGAAGAGAGAGGGTCACCAACAGAGAACTAAGAATGGTAGGCTCAGTACTAGTTAATTATTTCATGGAACATCAGAGAATCAATTGATTTGGTCAAAGAGGGGCGAAATCAGCCAGCATCTAAAGCGTACTGTATGAAACAGCAGACTGCAAGGCAAGAGGCTGACCAAGAAAGAGATAGATGGAGGGAGTAAAAGAAACACTAAAGAAATACAGTATGAAATTATCACGAGCTACACTAGCAATAGACAGGAAAGTACATCTAACTTCTCTCGGTGATGCTTCGTGGCATAAGCAGTAATACAGAAGAACAAATCATCCTTGTGTCCTATGAGCTGTGGGAAGAAAAGGCCTATAACCCAGGATTCTTGAGAAAAATTACCATTTTACACTGAGCTATTTATACATTTAACTTTTTTAATACATCTTCTATCTGCTGTTATGGTACCTAAATACTTTAATATATGTCCATTGTTACAAAGAATACATTTTATGTTAGAAAATTTTTTTAAATGAATATTCTGTGTCATAAAATACTTTGCAACAGTTCACATTAGTTTGAAGAAGAACTTGTGACAGGGTACACAAAATGTTTGTTTTACTAAAACTCGCCTGTCATATGTCCACAGGTGTCATCGTGGGGAGGTTACGTGTTCCTAATTAATTTGATTCCCCTGCACGTCTTGATGTTGATGATTACTGGCCGGTTTTCTCACCGTATCTATGTGGCTTATTCTACAGTAAGTTTTTATTTTCACAATGGCGCTCACTTCGTTGTATGTTCTGTTTATCTGGTATAGATCATCAGAGGGGCTTATGTCACAGTTATTTATGACAGAATTTTGGAATAGTTTATATTACACATGTGTTTATTGTTCATTGGATAAAGAGCATCTAGTGATGGGTTATATCTTAAGTAGATATCTCAGAATGCTGCATTATCCACTCAGGCATGGATTCTATCTAAAGTGTGTCCGAGCAATACATCATCCACTCAGGCATGGATTCTATCTAAAGTGTGTCCGAGCAATACATCATCCACTCAGGCATGGATTCTATCTAAAGTGTGTCCGAGCAATACATCATCCACTCAGGCATGGATTCTATTTAAAGTGTGTCCGAGCAATACATCATCCACTCAGGCATGGATTCTATTTAAAGTGTGTCCGAGCAATACATCATCCACTCAGGCATGGATTCTATCTAAAGTGTGTCCGAGCAATACATCATCCACTCAGGCATGGATTCTATTTTAAAGTGTGTCCGAGCATACATCATCCACTCAGGCATGGATTCTATTTAAAGTGTGTCCGAGCAATACATCATCCACTCAGGCATGGATTCTATTTAAAGTGTGTCCGAGCAATACATCATCCACTCAGGCATGGATTCTATCTAAAGTGTGTCCGAGCAATACATCATCGACTCAGGCATGGATTCTATCTAAAGTGTGTCCAAGAGATACATCATCCACTCAGGCATGGATTATATCTAAAGTGTGTCCAAGTGAGACATCATCCACTCAGGCATGGATTATATCTAAAGTGTGTCCAAGTGATACATCATCCATTCAGGCATGGATTCTATCTAAAGTGTGTCCAAGTGATACATCATCCACTCAGGCATGGATTATATCTAAAGTAGACGTGTCCAAGCGATACATCATCCACTCAGGCATGGATTATATCTAAAGTAGACGTGTCCAAGCGATACATCATCCACTCAGGCATGGATTATATCTAATGTAGGCATGTCCAAGCGTTACATCATCCACTCAGGCTAGGATTACATCTAAAGTAGACGGGTCTGAGCGATGCATCAGCCAATAGGGGTGTAGATTTTATCTAAGAGGTTATGGAAAGAAATTAAAACATTCTTACTAACTTTCATAATGTTACCCAAAAAAAAACCCCACTTTCACTGGTTTAAAACCAATTCAATCATGACTGTTTGATGTCTCACATTTTATATCATTGATTTTTCTTCTCTAGGTTTACTGCCTTGGAACCATACTCTCTATGCAAATTTCCTTTGTTGGTTTCCAACCGGTTCAGTCCAGTGAGCACATGGCTGTAAGTATATGGACTTGTTCTCTGTTCGTGAGAATGGTTAAGTGGGTAAGGCGTGGCTGCTGAGGTAGTTGTTTGGTGTGGGTAGGTGATGGTCACCGAGGTAATTTGGGTTTACACTGGCAGACAAGTTCTTGTGATACCCGGCTCCCTAGCATAGCTGGCTAAACCTGACTTTGCGACGACCGGGTGACGAACTCCTTGTGGTCTGGGTTCACACCCAGTGGTAGGCAGAAAAGCCACATTTCTCCCAGTTTTACGGTATTTATCATGGGATCAAGGCCCAAGGGTTGTGATATCCATAATACCGAGCCAAAGGGTAAAAAAGTTCTTGTGATAAGGTTGAGCTTTTCTTTTTTGGTGGTCCTCATTAGTTTCATACGGCTTTGAGTACAGTGTTGACTCAGTGGGTCAGAATTCCCTTTGATGGGCTGTACGCAGGACAGTCTTGCAGAGTATGGGCTATACACGGGACAGTCTTGCAGAGTATGGGCTGTACACGGGACAGTCTTGCAGAGTATGGGCTGTACACGGGACAGTCTTGTAGAGTATGGGCTGTACACGGGACAGTCTTGTTGAGTATGGGCTGTACACGGGACAGTCTTGTAGAGTATGGGCTGTACACAGGACAGTCTTGTAGAGTATGGGCTGTACATGGGACAGTCTTGTAGAGTATGGGCTGTACACGGGACAGTCTTGTAGAGTATGTTCTGCAGTTTGCACATACAGCTCAAATGTTCACAGTCAGGAAGTACCTAGATGAAGCCTGTGCATTTGCTTGTGAAGTTTGTTTTGCCCTGTCCTGAGCTGTAGAATGATGATCTGCCCATGTTGCTAAAATAAGTGGCCAGATTGTTGTGTTCACTACTGATAGACTGGAGTGCCATTTTGTATCTCTCCAAGTCTATCACTGCATTATCTCCCTGTTCACATTCTCTCCCTTTCTAAGCAAGTTCATCTGCGGTTTCATTTCTGAATCATTAGTTTAACTACTCTATTTCCCACACATCGAAGAGACGCTTACTAAGAGTGCTCGAGGCTGTATCAATAAAACTCTACTCCTATGTTATGTAAACAGAAAGATCATGTGATCAGTTTGAAGTTACCATGGCAATCACGTGACTGATTTTGATTTTTAATTTCCAGCAGAACGATGTACATCAACTCGACAGTGTGGTTTATGCATTTCAGCAAGAAAAGGTTTCATTTTGTATTTCATTATATGTTAATTTAACTCTGCAGTAACACACCTGACAAGATACAGCGAAATATATAAACTGTGCAATGTATTGTTTGTGTCCACATTTTTTAAATTAACTACTTTAGTCAAATTTTCTCTCTATTGAACTTTATTGAATCTTGCTTTGATGGGAGATAACCTAATATTTCGTGCCCGTCCTTATTATGTGTGTGTACATTGGTTTTTTTTTTTTTTCTCATTTGACCATTGAGATTTATATTTGCTGAATTTGATTGGTTGTGAAATCTCTTCGACAGGCCTTGGGTGTGTTTGGATTGTGTCAGATTCACGCCTTTGTAGACTTCCTCCGTTCAAAGATGTCCACAGAGCATTTCAACATCCTGTTCCGAAGTCTGGTCTTGTTGGTTGGGTCAGTTGTCTTTGCGGCTGCTGCCGTGGCCACTGCTTTGGGCAGTATCCTTTCTTTGTGACCAGTCTTTGTTTATTAGATAGCAGTTACTTTAATAAATGTTAGTTAGTCGAGGTTCCAACATTGTTACAGATTGGTCGCCCTCCCTAACTTCTCTGTTCCCATGCCAGTGGAAACCACACAAAATGTCCTTCACTGACCCATTTGAAAACTAGTGAAAAGCTTGTCACTTGTCAGCAAAATATTAAAGTCTGCACACGCTAAGTAAATGCAAAGAAGCAGCTGTAAGATCTGCCAACAATGACAGTCCCACAACAGAGTTGCAGCTCACTTTTGACGCAAACTGTCAGTCACAAAATCTGGCACTGTACCCTATAAAAGTTTGCACTGTTCTGAACACAGAATACGAAACAGTAAATTGAGTAGTTTTAAAACAAAGTTATATGTGTTTCAATTCTACAGCTATTTCAATTTTAACATATGCCAGTGAAATTTGGGCAACCACTCTAAAGATGTGGAACAACAGTTAAACGGTTTCAGTGCCCCACTGTAGGCAGGGAAAAACAGGAACAGACCCACTGCCTCCCCAACAAGCATGTCATAAGATGTTGACTAATTGGGGGTTTTCTTCAAAGTTTGTTGTGCATGTGCCTGAGAGGCAAAAAACAAAGAGTCGGCATACAACTGAGTTACATATGTAAAACAAATGTGCACACAACACTTAGGTTCTGGAACACATCTGAAGTCCAAAGGTGAACAACCAGAACTTTCCGCTAGAGTTCACAGCCTGTGAACCCGAGAAGAAATGCATTTGAAAACTTAAATGATGAAATTGATGAACAGGTAATGGGTTTGAGAAAGAGGAAGAAATAAGAAGAATGGCTGGTATCAACAGTTATAAAGCAAGAAGGTGGCGCTGTATGAGGCACATCCTGAGATGAAGTCTGCAGAGAATCACCAAACAGACACTGAGATGGAGAACAAAGATTACTTACAAGAAAAATCCTGAAATGGAAGTGGATGAGAGAAGCCAAAGGTACTGCCTGGATTCCACCCATATATGAAAAGGATAGAACAGAATGGAGGACGAGGCTGCGAGCCTTATGTGACGTTTAATGACAAGACAGGATGTGGATATATTACGAAATATAAAGATGTGTTAAAATACAAATATTTATAATCTTCTTCTTCTTCTTCGCGTTCACCAGCTGTACACTCTGGCGGAAAGTTTGGGTTGATCGTCCACTACTGAACTGCAGTCCTGCTCCAGAACCTGAGTGTTGCGTGTGCATCAGTTTTACAGATCTCATTCTCTTGAATACAGACTGTTGGTTCCTTGCCTCTCACGGCAGATGCACTCCGACTTCAAAGGAAGCTCCCCAGTTAGTCGACTCTTACGACATGCTTTTGGGGAGGCAGTGGGTCTATTCTTGTTTTCCCCACAATGGGGCCCCGGAACCCACACGGGGGATATTTATAATGACTTGGATTGCCAGTTCGGCCGTGGCTAGAATTGGTAGCAGGAATTGTTCTGGGAAGTAATGGCAAGAATTGTTATACTGACCACCACCGTCTGCCAGTTGGTCTTTTAAAAAATGTAAAGTTAGCACATGTCTTGGAGGGGTCCTTCTGTGTTTGCTAAACAGTTGGAAGGTTCTGTTATAATTTGTGATTTCTGCACCATTTGGCCCAACACCTCAGACTTAAGGGAATCCTTAACCTTTATGTCATTCTTGTTGCGAGTTGGGGGTGTCCTGTTCTTATTTCTGGTAAAATGGGGGGGGGGGGAAGGGGGTGTGTGTTAGAGCCACTGACCCCCTAACAGGCATGTTGTAAAAGTCAGCTAATCAGGAGTTTCCTTCAAAATCAAAGTGCATCTGCCTGAGAGATGAGGAACCAACAGTCGGCATACAGACAGGTGACATCTGTAAAATGGATGTGTACGCAGAGCTCAAGTTCTGAGATAAGACTAAACTCCAGAAGTAGATGAACAACCACAACTTACAGCCGGTGAACACAAAGAGGAATTCACACAAAGTTTTTTTCTTCAATGCATTTCAGGGAAACGTTGACATTAAATGTGTTATAATGGTACTAATGATCGCTACATTTTGATCAATTTGAATTGAAGTTTTTAGTGTATGAAATTGGTTGTGAGTTTCCTTAACCCAGCCCCTCTCAGAAATCGCCCCATGGACTGGTCGTTTCTACTCTCTGCTGGATCCATCCTACGCCAAGAACAACATCCCCATCATTGCTTCCGTCTCTGAGCACCAGCCGACCACCTGGAGCTCCTTCTACTTCGACCTGCAGTTGTTGATGTTCCTGTTCCCTGTGGGACTTTATTACTGCTTCACCAAGCTGACAGATGCCAACATCTTCATCATCATGTATGGTGTCACCAGTATTTACTTTGCTGTAAGTCGACATTATCACATTGTGACTCATCACTCCGCAGGTACTTTACAGAACATCATCATCTCTTCACGGCGTCCTTGAAAATCTCTCTTCTCTAGCCTTTTCTCCAACCCTATGTGCTTTCATATCCACTGTGTCTTGTGTCCACCTTCATGGAGGTCAACCTCTGCATGGTTTTCCTGAGACTGCACCCTTCCATCTTTCTCTCGGGGCCACCTTCACAATTAACATGGAAAACTGTGACTGCTAAACTATAAAGATTTGCTAGATGGAATAGAACAAATTTTCTAGTATGATAAAATCACAAGTTTACAGCTTGAGGAGAGAGCTAAACATATTTCAGTGAATCAAAAGGGGAGGGAAAATGCTTATACCGAATAAGATATTCATTGGAAAATCCTGATCATAGTCAACTGGAAAGTCTGTTTCACTGGAACGCACATGGATAAGGAATAAAGGCCACAAGGGGGCGGGAATTAGAGAGTGAATAAAAAAAGGTGGGGATGACAGGAGGTGAGCTACACGTGATAGCAACAAATGAATCAAGAGGTGAGGAAAGGTTCCTTATGCTGGATAGGATGTACATGAAGAAATCACGATTATGGTGTTACTAGGAAGTATTTCCACTGGAACTCACAGGGCAAAAGAGATAGAGGGAGATCTAAAAATTAGGCCAGTTTACTAAGGTATCCATTCTTTTCTTTTTTGTGCGCGTGCACCTTAAAACCATGATTTTGATTTTTCAAGCTCTCACAGCGTTATCTCCCCCGTGTGGGTTACGGCTCCCATTGTGGAGGAAATCAAGAACAGACCAAGTCCTTCTCTAACAAACATGTCATAAGAGTCAACAATTAGTTTGAGTTTTGTTTGAAGTGTGAGTGCAGCTGCCCAAGAGGTAAGTAGCCAGCAGTCTGCATACAATTAAGCCAGATCTGTAAAATGGGTGCGCAAGAAAAACTAAGGTCCTTGAACAAAGTTTAGAAATAGGCGAACAGCCAGGACTTTCCACCGGGGTTTACGGCCTGTGAACGCAAATATCAAACAACACAACCTTGTCTCATCTTATCTTCTTCTGTGCAATTACCGGCTGTAAAATCCAGCTGATAATTCATTTTTTTTTCATCCAACTCTGGACTTTAGCCTCATCTGAAAACTTGAGTTTTCCATGCACATCAGTTTTACAGATCCGGCTTATTTGTGTGCAGACTGTTGGTTCCTCGCCTCTCATGCATGTGCACAGAAATGAAGAAAACACAGCTGATTAGTCCACCTTTACGACATGCTTGTTGGGGGAGGAGACAGTGGGTCTCTTCTCCTCCTGCTGCCCAAATGGTCCGGGACCAACACTGAGACTTGTCTCATAACTTGAGACACATTGCTGTTAGTCTTGTCCAGGTCTGGGTCATCACTGTTCTTAAACTGCCGGCTTGCAGTACACAGTGTGTCTAATATCTGATGCGCATGTTACTATAACTGTTTAACTGGTCTTCTCCGACAGGGTGTGATGGTTCGTCTGATGTTGGTGCTGGCCCCAGTCATGTGTGTCCTAGGTGGCATCGGGATGTCTGCAGTTTTGACCACTTACATGAAGAACCTGGACAACCCCATGAAGAAAGAGAAGAAGTCCACCAAGAAAATAGAGTCTAACTATCCCCTGAAGAATGAGGTGGGTGTAACACTAACAATCTCTCTGTGTGTGTCTCTCTCTCTTCTCTCTCTCTCTCTCTCTCTCTCTCTCTCTCTCTCTCTCTCTCTCTCTGTCTCTCTCTCTCTCTCTCTCTCTCTCTCTCTCACACATCTCTCTCTCTCTCTCCTCTCTGGTCTCTCTCTTGCCTGTTTAAATCACAATGTTTCATATACCTAATTTGAAGAAAGAACTGGGTGTAATCCTGTGGATTGTTTAATGTTTCAGATTGCCACCTGTGTAATCCTGTGGATTGTTTAATGTTTCAGATTGCCACCTGTGTAATCCTGTGGATTGTTTAATGTTTCAGATTGCCACCTGTGTAATCCTGTGGATTGTTTAATGTTTCAGATTGCCACCTGTGTAATCCTACTAATGACAGCTTTCCTGTTGTTCTACACCTACCATTGCACCTGGGTCACCTCAGAAGCTTACTCGTCCCCTCCATCGTGCTCTCGGCTCGCGGCGGAGACGGCAGTCGGATCATATTCGATGATTTCAGGGAGGCTTACTATTGGTTGAGACATAATACACCTGAGGTCAGCTTCAGTTTTTACTGTGTTCTGTGTTTGACTGGGTTTTTTTTTTTTTCAATTACTTGTTCTCTCTTATAATTGCTAGTTCTCTCTTATAATTGCTAGTTCTCTCTTATAATTGCTAGTTCTCTCTTATAACTGCTAGTTCTCTCTTATAACTTGCTAGTTCTCTCTTATAATTGCTAGTTCTCTCTTATAATTGCTAGTTCTCTCTTATATTTGCTAGTTCTCTCTTATAATTGCTAGTTCTCTCTTATAATTGCTAGTTCTCTCTTATAATTGCTAGTTCTCTCTTATATTTGCTAGTTCTCTCTTATAATTGCTAGTTCTCTCTTATAACTGCTAGTTCTCTCTTATAATTGCTAGTTCTCTCTTATAACTGCTAGTTCTCTCTTATAATTGCTAGTTCTCTCTTATAATTGCTAGTTCTCTCTTATAACTGCTAGTTCTCTCTTATAACTGCTAGTTCTCTCTTATAATTGCTAGTTCTCTCTTATAATTGCTAGTTCTCTCTTATAACTGCTAGTTCTCTCTTATAATTGCTAGTTCTCTCTTATAATTGCTAGTTCTCTCTTATAATTGCTAGTTCTCTCTTATATTTGCTAGTTCTCTCTTATAATTGCTTAACTGTTTTTCTCTTATAATTACTTGTTCTCTCTTATAATTGCTTTACTGTTGTTCTCTTATAATTGCGTAACTGTCGTTCTCTAATAATTGCTTAATTAAGCTGATGGGTTAAAAACCTAGTAAAGACAAATAAAATCAAAGTCATGTCCAAACGGTGCAGACCCTGATATCTGTATGGACCAGTAGTTATTCTGTGAGTAAAGTTATCGGTAATACGTTGCCCCCCTGCACTTCCCATAACATTTGCTGGTGCTACTTTAAAGTGGAAGATTCGAGCTACAGAACACTAGGCCAGCGGGCAAGTTTGCTAGCTGCTGCACTGTCAGTTTTATATTTTTTAAAAAAATTTGCATAATTAATTTAGTTACGATTGCAATATAAGAGGTGTATTTATAACTTCATTGTTTTGTACATATCTGTGGGCTCAAGAATGGCCGGCAGAATTGATGGGAAAAAGAGCAATGGGAAGGGAAAGAGATAAATACCTGGATGACCTGGCTATATGGTGGGGGTAGGGCAAGAACACTGACCTGATGTGCGATCATGTGAGATGGTGAAACATGACAGCCCACGCCTAATCAGCATGGCACGTGATGATGATAGCATATGTGTACACTTTATGTATTTCACCCACACTGTGAGAAAAAAATTATCACGTATGGTGACATAAATCTGTGCTGTCACGTCACCACATGTACCTCTCAACAAAACTATTACTGTGACTTCACCACATATACCTCTCAACAAAACTATTGCTGTGACTTCACCACATATACCTCTCAACAAAACTATTGCTGTGACTTCACCACATATACCTCTCAACAAAACTATTGCTGTCACTTCACCACATATACCTCTCAACAAAACTATTGCTGTCACTTCACCACATGTACCTCTCAACAAAACTATTGCTGTCACTTCACCACATATACCTCTCAACAAAACTATGGCTGTCACTGTCATGTTGACCACATCACCCCTCGTGTGCCGATTTATCTGTCAGGGTGTGAGTCTAGCCTCATATCCCTGCTGCGTCACTGCCATAGCATTGCCCAGTCCCTACCCCCCCCCCCCCCCCCATACCATACTAACTAGTCAGTATCTCCCCCTGTACTAACTAGTCAGTATCTCCCCCTGTACTAACTTGTCAGTATCTCCCCCTGTACTGTAAATATCTTCCCCTGTACTAACTAGTCAGTATCTCCCCCTGTACTGTCAATATCTCCCCCTGTACTAACTAGTCAGTATCTCCCCCTGTACTGTAAATATCTTGTCAGTACTAACTTGCCAATATCTCCCCCTGTACCAACTTGTCAGTATCTCCCCCTGTACTAACTAGTCAGTATCTACCCTGTACTAACTTGTCAGTATCTCCCCCTGTACTAACTTGTCAGTATCTCCCCCTGTACTAACTTGTCAGTATCTCCCCCTGTACTAACTTGTCAGTATCTCCCTTTGTACTAACTTGTCAGTATCTCCCCCTGTACTAACTTGTCAGTATCTCCCCCTGTACTAACTTGTCAGTATCTCCCCCTGTACTAACTTGTCAATATCTCCCCCTGTACTAACTTGTCAATATCTCCCCCTGTACTAACTTGTCAATATCTCCGCCTGTACTAACTTGTCAATATCTCCCCCTGTAATTGTCAGTATCTCCCCCTGTACTTGTCAGTATCTCCCCCTGTACTAACTCATCAGTATTTCCCCCTGTACTAACTTGTCAGTATCTCCCCCTGTACTAACTTGTCAATATCTCCCCCTGTACTAACTTGTGTGTATCTCCCCCTGTAATAACCATCAGTATTTCCCCCTGTACTAACTCATCAGTTTCTCCCCCTGTACTAACTTGTCAATATCTCCCCCTGTACTAACTTGTCAATATTTCCCCCTGTACTTGTCAGTATCTCCCCCTGTACTAACTTGTCAGTATCTCCCCCTGTACTAACTTGTCAGTATCTCCCCCTGTACTAACTTGTGTGTATTTCCCCCTGTACTAACTTGTCAATATCTCCCCCTGAACTAACTCATCAGTATTTCCCCCTGTACTAACTTGTCAGTATCTCCCCCTGTACTAACTCATCAGTATTTCCCCCTGTACTTAACTTGTCAGTATCTCCCCTTGTACTAACTTGTGTGTATGTTCCCCTGTACTAACTCATCAGTATGTCCCCCTGTACTAACTCATCAGTATTTCCCCCTGAACTAACTCATCAGTATTTCCCCCTGTACTAACTTGTCAGTATTTCCCCCTGTACTAACTTGTCAATATCTTCCCCTGTACTAACTTGTATCTTCCACCTACAAACATGAGATTGCTCTGTCCCCAGGATGCTAAGGTGATGTCCTGGTGGGATTATGGCTACCAGATAACAGCCATGGCCAACAGGACCATCCTAGTGGACAACAACACCTGGAACAATACGCACATATCCAGGGTCGGACAGGTAACTTGTTTATTGTATCTTAAGTAACATGTATTTTGTTTTTCCTAAGTATATCGTAATTTTTTTAAGATGAATGTTGCAGTTACCTTAGGCTGCCCGAGTAAAGAACAGCGGTTGTCTGAAAGTAATTTAATGAAAGTAGACCGTATGAGACTCAGAGAACTGTTTATATGCATCTGTAACAGAAAAGGTGTTTTTTTTTTATACAACTTAAACAGAGAGATGTTTTTTATTCTGCTGTAACAAAGGGGCAGTGGATTTTTTTTTAACTGTTAGAAAAAGATTTCTGTTTTAATGTGGCTATTGCATGTTTTGATGCAGCTGTAACCGAAAGACAGTTTCTGTTTGCAGATGCAACGGCAACTCACTGCCATTTTCTACGTGGATTACAAAGAGAATTTATTTGTTTGAATACGATAATAATAAAGAGACAGTTTTTTTAAATGTGTATGTGGATGAAACAATTATTAAGAGAGATTTTTAAAATTATTATTATAACACTGTGGATGTTTTGGGTTGTTTTATAAAGAGAACTCTTGACTGGAAACAGAAAGGTCAAGTCGGGAGATGTGAACCAGCGTCATTGCACATGGTTATAAACCATAAGTGCTCTGCCACCAGTACGGAAGGATGATAAGAAACTGTCCGCCTGTGTCGCCGTCCGCACATAACTCTGTAGCTACAGCGACATTCCTCTATTTACCCCAGAGTGTCATCTCTGGTACCCATTTCCTAGAGGCTGGGTGAACCCCGGGAACAGCCCAGTTTCGAAAGCCGACCGTGGCTGCAGCGAGTCGCAGCTGGATTTGAAAGCGAGCCTCTTATCGACTGCGCTAACGCGGCCCCTGTTACTGGGAACATCAGGGACAGATCTGTACAAGGACGTGAGTGCCCTTTACCTCCACTACAGGGTATGGAACTAAATTATATAGAGAGGAAGGTGGTCAATACAAGTTCAGAATAACTCTCTTTGTTTGAGAACTTACATCCCTGAGTGGGTTCCAGGGCCCTATTTTGGGGGGAGAACACAAAACAGACCCACTGCAACCCCCCCCCCCCCTCCTCCTCCTCCTCCTCTCAAAAAAAAGAATACAGTCAAGAGTACATCTGCCTGAGAGGCAAGCAATTAACAGTATGCTTACCCCCCCCCCCCCCCCCCCCCCCCAAAAAAAAAAACCAGTTCTGTGAAACCAATGTGCATGAAAATCTCGACCAGAACCTTCTGCTGGAGTTTACAGCCGGTGAACAAGAAGATAAGAAGGAACTGGGATCATCTTTTTTGTGTATTGTTGCCTAAAGGTACCAGTAACCTGAGCCACAAGTTCATGTAGGTCCTGCAGTTAGTTGTCGTGTTGATCTCTGCAGGCGATGGCATCAACAGAAGAAAAAGCATATGAAATCATGCGAGAACTTGATGTCAATTATGTTTTGGTGATTTTTGGTGGATTGACCGGATATTCTTCTGATGGTGAGTGTCTTACTTCAGCCTTAAAAACAGGGATATTTCCCTAGAGAGAATCAGATAAAGTCATGGGAAATATCTCAGGGTAGGGAGAAGTGGTTATTTGAATGATAAATATCCCAGGGTAGGGAGAAGTGATTTAATTAATGGGAAATATCTCAGGGTAGGGAGAAGTGATTATATGAATGGGAAATATCCCAGGGTAGGGAGAAGTGATTATATGAATGGGAAATATCTCAGGGTAGGGAGAAGTGATTATATGAATGGGAAATATCCCAGGGTAGGGAGAAGTGATTATATGAATTGGAAATATCTCAGGGTAGGGAGAAGTGATTATATGAATGGGAAATATCCCAGGGTAGGGAAAAGTGATTATATGAATGGGAAATATCTCAGGGTAGGGAGAAGTGATTATATGAATGGGAAATATCCCAGGGTAGGGAGAAGTGATTATATGAATGGGAAATATCTCAGGGTAGGGAAAAGTGATTATATGAATGGGAAATATCTCAGGGTAGGGAGAAGCGATTATATGAATGGGAAATATCCCAGGGTAGGGAGAAGTGATTATATGAATGGGAAATATCTCAGGGTAGGGAGAAGCGATTATGTGAATGGGAAATATCTCAGGGTAGGGAAAAGCGATTTAATTAATGGGAAATGTGTAGTATTGAACGAAACTGTTTCTAACCCTTCGAAAATACAGTTTCTGTGTGTCAATCAATCAGATGCTGTCTCTCCAGTAACAGTTGGCTGCCAATCAGAAGCCATCTCTCCATTAACAGTTGGCTGCGAGCAATCTCTGGCACTCTATGTCTCTTATGCTGGTTGTACTCTCTCTCTCAGACTGCTGTTCATCCATCTTTTCATGTTGTTCTTGTATGACTGTCTGCATCTTGCCTTCAGCTTTTCCCTCCAATGTGGTCTTTTTAAAAAGAGTGTTGCATCTTTTATTGAGGCCAAAATATTCCAATTGTCTCTTCTTTGCTTCTTTCAGCACCTCTCTTTTCATTTAGAGTTTCTCCAGAACCACTATATGATTGTTTTTGTTCACATGAAATGCAACTTATTCTTCTGTATATCCATATTTCTAGAGACTCATTTTGATTTTCTAGGTTCTTGTTCCTTGTCCAGGTTTTTGCAGCAGGGTTGAGTACAGATAACTTTGTTGATTCTCCTGAATATAATAATTTCATCATCACCATTGTGCAGTAACACTGCATGTCTTTGGGTCACAAGTTGCTGCTGAATGATCAGCTGCCTTCACCTTTGATGGTCAGATGCAGTGGACTTTATGATTGCTTGTCCAAGGCCTGTCCAGTCAGTTGAGTTCTGTATCCAGACCTTTCTTGGTCTGCCTCTTCTCTTCCCCTCTACTGAGCCTTTTTTTTTTTGAAAGGCCGTTAGATTTTTTTACATGTCCGTACCATTGCATTTTCCATGTTTTCACCGAAGTTAAAAGGTATTTGCAGTTGGCAAGTTAGTATGAGCAATATTTTTGTATCTCAAATACAGAATCTTTAACTGACAACTTATGTATTTTTATACACTTGTTTATACTTTTATACACTTGAAACACTTGTCCAGTTGTAACGGAAAAGTTTGCGTTTACCTTTGTCCGCAGATATCAACAAGTTTTTGTGGATGGTTCGTATCGGTGGCAGCACAGACAGGGGCAGTCACATCAAGGAATGGGACTACTACACGCCCCAGGGAGAGTTCCGCGTTGATAAAGAGGGTTCTCCAGTTCTCCTGAACTGCCTCATGTACAAGATGTGCTACTACAGATTTGGGTCCGTCTATACAGAGGGAGGTAAGAACGGCATTGAAGAGCATCAGATTTGACTCTACCAGTGCCAGAGAAGTGTTACTTTAACTCTTTGTAATCATCAAGTGCCTTGTTAGCTGGCATGGTCGATCATTCCTCTCCAACAGCATGTATCAGATCTTGTGCTACTTCTCCATGCCATGACCAGAATCCTTCAGCAGTCTTCTCATGTTGTCTTCCTATGTCTCTCTTTCCAGCTGTCACAACATGTTCCAGTTTCCTTTTTCTCATAATCTGACCAAAAAATGTATGTGATGTTTGTGATAAGTTGTCTTTGAGCTTTCACCTCTTTCTAAACATCTAGGTTAATTTTTTTGGCTGTCCAATGAAATTTTAAGCATTCTTCTGTAAAACTACATCATTGAGGCCTCAAGAAATTGTTTGGCTTGTTTACTTGTTCATGATTGACAGCCATATGTTCATACTGAGTCCATACAGCATGCGTGTATTCTTTTTTTTTACCTGACCTTCCATGGCATGGATTTGTTGCATAAGTGGCTCTTCATTATATCCTAAACATTTGTTATTAAAGTTTTTTTCTTCTTCTTTTGCGTTCGACATCAGTCATGCTAAACAAATGTCCGTCCCAAGTCTCACGATAGATGGTAGAGACGTCAACAGAGAGAGCAAACTGAAGTATTTGGGAATTATATTTGACAGGAGCCTGTCATTTAAGGACTATGTAGAGAGTGTTGTGACAAGATGCCAAAAAGGACTTAGTGCACTTAAGACTATGGCTGCAATTGACATAGAGCAGAGAATGCTTTTCAAACTATATCAGCACCTGATCCTGTCAGTGGTGAATTATGGCCTGGGACTGCTTACCGTCTCAAAGAGTCAGATGGACAAACTAGAGCGCATACAGAACGCGGCTAGGCGGGCCATTCTGGGTTGCACCAGAGATACCCCAGTGGTGTGTATGCGATACATCCTTGGTTTGCCGGTTTTGGTTTTGGTAGGCACAAGGTGATGCAGGCGAAGTCATGTCTCAGGGTAACTGCAGACACAGACCACCCTCTGCATGAAGCTCTGGGTGCAGTTAAGGGTCAGCGGCTGATAAGAGGGAGGTCATGGATGGCTCAGGCAAAAGACACAATCAGACAGGTTTGCATCCTTGAGAACATTAGGCAAGGAGAGGAGTGGGTCAAAGTGCCACCTGAGCAGTCTGACTTGTGTAGAGTCATAATCACGCTGAGCTGGGAATGCAGAGACTGGCCAGCAGGTGCCACAGAGGTAGAAATTCAGCAATTAATTAAAGATAATGCTCGCTCAGAGGATTTGATCATTTACACAGACGGTTCAGTGTCAAGAGGCAAAAGAAGTGCTTGGGGCTTTTTAGCAAAAGTTAATGGTCGACGTTTGGTGCAGGAGAGCCTAGCATATGATACCACAACATCCAGCTTAAGAATGGAGGTGGAGGCGGTCACTGCAGCTTTCCGCTGGCTAGAGAACACGACACACACACACATTGTAATTGTAACTGATTCAGAAAGCATGCTGAGGAAGATCAGAACAGGTATGCTTCGTGCAGAGTGGCATGCTTCGCTGCGGAGGACATGAGTGAGGAGTATTGTCTGGATTTTTTCACCGGGTTACGCCGATGTGTTGGGAAATGAACAGGCGGACAGACTGGCTGGCTCTGCACAACTTGGTGGAATACTGCTACATGATAGGGCAGACGTGGTTAGTGCCTTGTGAGAGAGCGTGTACAATGCGGAGGAGCAGATGGATTACCACAGTCTGGTGAGATTGATGCAGTTGGGGGTGACGAGAGGTTCTGGCAGAAGCTCAAGGCTCAGAGGAAAGGCAAGACGGACGTTTAATCAGAAAGCTACTGGCACCATTAGCATCGGAACTCTTCGCTGGCTGCTGAAGATAAGGACGGAGCGCTTATGGGAATGCCCCGAGTGCTGTGATGTCGGTTCTTGAATCAAATCAAATCAATGAAATCATGCTAAACATTAAGTCCCGTCTGGGTCACAAATAGGATTGTGCGTTTAAGATCGCCACCGGTCCCCCATAGCTTCTCTTGCAATGTGGCTCCCTTGGGCCGGATCCACAGTCTTTGCTGGGAGAGGTTAGGGCAGTACTGCAGTATGTGCTGAGGGGTCTGTCTTTCTGCTCCACAATCACCAACTCCCAGATGCCTGCCAGCTCTGTTTAGGCTGATATGACCCATTATCTAAAGTGCACTGGGACGTGTGGCAGGAATCTCGCATGAGGATCCGTAAAACCAGCACAGAACTTGCTGGTGCCTGAGATGAATCACAACCGCCTTAACTTTCCTTCATGCCTCTGCTGCTGGTTACTCATGTCTTGTGGTGTGTCCTAAGAGCATGATGTTGTACTTGCAATGCAAAATGTCATATATATTAATTCCCCGTGTGGGTTCCGGGGCCCAGTTGTGGGGAAAACAAGAATAGATCCACTGCCTTCCCAGCAAGCATGTCATAGGAGTCAACTATCTGGGGACTTCCTTCGAAGTCGGAGTGCATCTGCCCGAGCGGCAAGGAACAACCAACTGCACACAAATAAGTCAGTAAAACGGATGTACACTCAAAACTCAGGCCCTGGCACAAAGCCAAGGTCCAAATGGATGAACAGCCAGGACTTTCCGCCAGAGCTTACAGCCAGTGAACAAAGAAGAAGAAGATATATAAATTGATTAGAACATGTATTTCTGTCTACTGTTGCATTGTTTGAAAATTGATTACCATAATATTGGTCTGCTTCCAGGCAAGCCAACAGGTTACGACAGAGTCCGCAATACAGAGATTGGCAACAAAGACTTTGAACTAGATGTCCTTGAGGAAGCTTACACAACTGAGCATTGGTTGGTCAGAATTTACAAGGTCAAGGACTTAGATAACAGGGGAGCGTAATACCAGTGAATGCACATTTAACCAATCAACTTATAGATGATACGAAAATATATCCTAATGTAAAACATGCCTGCTGATTGCTGATGTATTTTGAATTGTGCTGCTGATAGGATGCTTTGTTTGGGTGTGGGACTTGGAGCACTCCAGCATGACAGGTTGTTGTCTTTGTAGTTATGGTATTTGTGTTGTGTGGGGTGTACCTCATTGTTACATTGTGTATCTGAAGAAAAGCTTACACAGTTTTTTTTTGTTTTTTATTGTCTGTAGAAATGTTCATTACTGAACTGTCATGCAACTTTAAAAACCACACGTTCTGATAGGAATGGTTAAAGTATCAAGTGTGGTCACTGCCTTGTTTAATTGATGGACTAGCCCTGTGTTACAGTTACTGCTGTGGTTCTTTTTCTACATTCACCCTTATAAGGATGGTTAGTATATTGTGTTGTGGTTTACAGCTAGGCTGTGATATCTGCACCATTTTTGGCCCAAGAAATCAGATTTCAGCAGTACACTAATTAGTCACCTTTGGGACATGCTTGTTAGAAGACAGTGGCTCTGTTCTACTCCCCCTGGGGCCCCAGCATCGACACCGGGAGATCATAGACTTACGTATTTGCAAGCCCTCTATTACGTTTACGTCTTTCCTTTGGTCTATCATGCTCTGAGGGACTGTTTTCTTGCTTTTGATCTTTCTGTGTCCTCCCGCCTGGGAATGTTATACGGTAAGATGTTAGTAATATCTTCAGCTTATATAGACAGCCCCTTGCCTCACCATTATTGACTAAACTGTGTCATTTCTAGTTGGGCAGACTGCCTGTTGTGACAAGATTTTGTTTGTTAAATGTTTTGTTTTGAATAAAAATTGAGAGTTGTCACCTGTTATATATATTCAAAAACTTATCTATAGCACAGAGCAAATGAATCGACAGTTAGAAGGCTAAAATAAAGCCCTATAGATGTGGGTATACAAAAGTCGGCTGTATTTCCAGGAAACAAAAATAATGAAATACAGGGGTTGTAGATATGATTTGGATATTTTTTTTAAGTTGCTGAAATAAATAAAATGAGACAGGTTAAATGTGTTTGCCACATTAAAAATCTAGACACTCGTATAAAGAACATAGTGAGGCAGAAGTGGGGGACCACAGTAAAAGTTTAAGTGTAACATCAAGAGATGGTTGAACAGTCTGTTGGAGTGTGTAGCCAAGAGAGAGAGAGAGAGATTTTGAGTATCCATGATGATAAACTGTCATTGTGGAGACAGAACCAGATTAATTGTTTTACTAGAATATGTTGGTGTGATGTTGTTACATATCTTGTTTAGTAAACTAGTCTTTTTGTGAGCTTTAAATGAAGGTTTGCCAGATTGTAATTAGACTGAGCTGTAATATTTGCCAGATAATGAACAGCCAGACAGAGGTGTGACACCCATAAGTTGTGCTGTCGCTCAAAATCTTTTCTTGTGTCATATCCATACCTGTTGTACCTGGGTGTCAGCGATAACTACCTTTTGGCCCAACACATCCGGTTTCAGCAAACTCACTGTTACCTCTTACAACATGCTTATTATGGATTAGTGGGTGCATTTTTTTTACCCGAGTTCTGCCCCTTTACAAAAAAAAATGTCAGTTGCCAGGTCTTTTCTTCTTCAGCAGAAAATACTGACCGTTTCTTCACTTTTTGGCCTATTTTGTTTCTGGACTTGGAAATTTTCTGCACATCCATTTTATAGATCTGGCTGATTTGTTTTGGTTGCAGATGTCTCCCAACTTAAAACATTTTTCTTATCTACGTTGACCAGGGGTCTGGTCCCTAGGATGACCACAGAAAGGTGTGGGTAGATGTTGACCAGTATAATTCCTCATGGGGAACCACCACTTGTGGTTGAGCACCTCCTCATCTCTGTCAGTTGTGACCCTTTGAAAAAAAAAAAACAAGTGTGTTCGTTGTTTCAGCAAGACATATAGAGAAGCTAGAATGTGCTGCCCTCTCACAGTGAGGAATATCTGTGACCCATTTCATGTTGATCACTCAAAAGTTGTTTGTGTGTGGTTGAGGGTGTGTTGTTTGTCACAGCAGGTTTGTTCAAATATTTCATGTCCATGATTCAGCGTTTGTTTTTAATAGTTATCACCAATAAATAATTTATAACAGTCAATAATTGTTTTGTATTGTTATGCCTGTACTATGTGTGTGTCTGCCAAATTTTCCCCATCACATAAATTTTTTTTTTTTTTTTGACTTGAAAAAAAGACATGGTTCTGTTTTGAGGAGTAAAGGAAGACAGCGTTACATGTGGTGGACAACATAAAGAGTTGGTTTGAAAGAAGTCTGTGAATGCATGATGAAGATACGGGACAGTCACCATCATCATGTGCCCTGCCGACTGGCATATGAGTTCATGCATCTCCACAGTTCTCAGTCCTTTGTCTTCTGGATCATTTCCACTGATATCCCTCTGTGCCACCATCGCCATCCATCTGTCATTATCTCTCTCGGTCTGCCTCTCCCTCTTCTACCATCGATCTTCCCAGTTGTCACAGTATTCTCCAAAGTTTTCCCCTTCATCAGCATGATCAAAAAACCATGCTTGTCTTTTCTTTATAGCTGTATATATTGATATATATATATATTGATCTTTTTTCATCAGCTTCTTTCAACCGGCTCCTAGTTTGAGCAGTGGTTATATTGATTCTTTATAGCTGTATATATTGATATATAAATATTGATCTTTTTTCATCAGCTTCTTTCAAGCAACCCTCACTAGTTAATCTGGTCGTCAAAGGGACAGAACTGTAAACATACTCAACTGACTTTCAATGATGGTCTTTGTGTTTAAATGTCATACTGATTGATAGGGGCAGTCATGTGTGTCTACAGTCCTGGATTAGTTCATTGTTAGTGTGTACACAGTCACCGGCTTCTCTGCACCAGCCTCATGTGCGGCACCACCTGTGACCTAGGAAACTAACCAGGTCAACAATTGCCTGCAGAAGTCGGATGTATCAGCCTGAAGAGCATAAATATCCCAGCCATGTTGTAAATGGACACAACGTAATTACTACTTCTGATGAACGCAGAAGAAGAAGAAAGTACACACAGTAGTCTCATTGTGTGTAGACACAAACAAAAGCAAGCTATTTATACAATCAGAAACAAAAGCAAGCTATTTATACAATCATTGTTTAATTACTTGTATCCAATAGTTAGTCTTGACCATTTTATCACAGATGTCTGGCTGGATGCCAAACAATAAATGCAGGCTGCTATCTCAATATATCTACAGCAGAAGTCATAAAATAAACAGAAATTATAAGTGCTATATTTTTATACACACAACTAAATTATAAATAAAAATTATGACCAGGCTGTACTGTTAACTGTTAAAAAAGCTCCAGTTATACAGCAAACAGTTCATGACTATCACGTCAACACAAGCGCAGGTTAAGTTTTTCAGTGCCAAACAGTTTGTTATTTAAAACTGCCTGCTCCCAAAGTCTGTGCAAATTACAATAACAATCTATGAGTCTTCAGTAGTTTTAACTCTTTCATCCCAGAAACGCCCACAAAAATTTGTCACAAACCCATGTGAATCTGTCACGAACCCATGCGAATCGCTCCCCCCTCCCCCCTCCCAAAACAATCCTATTAATTAATTTTGTTTAAACACATTACACAGGTCGCTAATAAAAAGGAAAACCAAGGTTCGAATCGTCTGTAATGTTGGTGATTTTTTTCTGTCTGAGGCAAAATAAAATTCTCACCTGCACAGTTTGTGGCGACAAAACTAGCCTTGCAGCCCTAAATCCTCACGCTCAAAGACCCTCCTGCCTACACGGCAAAAGTGCAGTAATTGGCAGTTTGGCTAGCAAAAACAATATTATGTTATTTTCATTTTTGAATTTAGATATACATATATGTCTTGGATGACTCATGCAGTGACCCCCATGACCTCTATAAGAGATGCACTCCGACTTCAAAGGAAACTCCCAATTAGTTGACTGCTATGACATGCTTGTAGGGTAGGCAGTGGGTCTATTCTTGTTTTCTCCACATTGTGGCCCCGAAAACCACACGGAGAGGGGATCATGTGAGTTGCATGAGACAAAAGGTAGCAAATAAACTTGCAGTAAAATTATGCAGTGGCTGTTTCCCTTAGAAATGTATGGCAAATTAGCTTTTTACTATCAAAGCCCACGCCTCAAATTATTTTGAGACCAGTATCCACTCATTTCTTTCAATGGAATTTAAACTGTCACCGGGAAGGACAACCTGGTCAACCAATAATTGAAATAGTTAGAAGCATCGGCATTCTTCTTCTTCTCTTCCACCTTGTACCTCATCGAAGTGTCGGGGGGAAGTATCGGCCTAAAGGCATTAATATCACAGCTCTCTTGTAAACAGGGATAATGCAATTCTGTTGACAGAAACAATGTTGGTGCAACAGAGTTCGTGCACTGCACTGAGATTCTTCAGGCTTGAGTTAGAAGAAGAACGGAGCACTTATGGGTTACACTTGTGTGCCATGATGTAGAGCCATTGAATAATCATCCATAAACAGAAACAATGGGAAAAGAAGAAGCAAGCATGGTTCACCAAATGTCTTTAAATTACCAATACTCTACTTCATTAATGTGGTAAACACACACGCACACACACAGATAATACCAGATGGAAGCTGTATCACAAAGACAAGTAAAAACTATTATATGCAATGAAGAGCATCTTATGGAAAATGACCTTATTACTACAGGTTAGAAATTCAATCACTGCAATTTTAATATATGGCTGTAAATCATAGACAATTATTAATCAAGCAAAACAATGTCTTGAAGTCATAGAAATACAGTTATATAGATTTTCATTATATCAATTTTTTATACATTATATTATATACATTATAACAATCCAGCAATCCAGTAGAGAAAGTAAATGTAAATGACATCATTACCACAGATGCATGGAATGTCAGATCACTTGTATAACTTGGAAAGCTGGATAACATTGAGAGGGAAATAGAGACAATGAATATCAAAATATTGGGAATTAGTGAAATGCGTTGGCCAGGAGGGGGAAAAGTATTCACATAAACACAGAATCATTTACTCAGGTGGGAAAAAATACAAAAAATGATGTTGCTATTTTGGATCCACAAAGTGCAAAAACTGTTTAAGGATATTGGACTATTTCAGACAGGGTGCTTCTGCTTCTTCTTCTTCTTCCTGTTCACCAGCTGTACACTCTGGCGGAAAGTTCTGGTTGCTCATCCACTACTGAACTGCAGTCCTGCTCCAGAATCTGAGTACTGCGTGTGCATCAGTTTTACAGATCTCATTCTCTTAAATACAGACTGTTGGTTCCTTGCCTCTCCGGCAGATGCCGCACTCCGACTTCACAGGAAAGACAGGGTGCTGTTAGTAAAGATCCCTAGCAAACCACTTGACATAAACCTAGTACAGATATATGCTCCAACTGCAGAAATCTCAGAAGATGACACTGATGAATTTTGTAATGATTTAGACATGGCTTTTGATCAGTGTAATAATTCTGAAGTAAGAATAATAATGGGAGATTTCAATGCAAAAGTTGGAAGGGAAAAAGTGTGTGGAGTAACTGGTAGCTATGGCCTACGAAGAAAGAATAAGAGAGGTGAAATATTAATAGCTTGGGCGGAGTCACATAACATGGCAATAGGTAACACCTGGTTTAAACACCACTCTCGTCGACTGTGGACTTGGAAAAGTCCTGATGACAATTTCCGCAATCAGACTGATTATATATCTTGATTTCAAAAAAGATTCAGGAGCAGTTTAACTGGAGCAAAGATTAGACCAGGAGCAGACTGTTGTGATGATCATGTTCCAGTTAACTGGAGCAAAGATTAGACCAGGAGCAGACTGTTGTGGTGATCATGTTCCAGTCAACTGGAGCAAAGATTAGACCAGGAGCAGACTGTTGTGGTGATCATGTTCCAGTTAACTGTAGCAAAGACTAGACCAGGAGCAGACTGTTGTGGTGATCATGTTCCAGTTAACTGGAGCAAAGATTAGACCAGGAGCAGACTGTTGTGGTGATCATGTTCCAGTTAACAGGAGCAAAGATTAGACCAGGAGCAGACTGTTGTGGTGATCATGTTCCAGTTAACTGGAGCAAAGATTAGACCAGGAGCAGACTGTTGTGGTGATCATGTTCCAGTTAACTGCAGCAAAGACTAGACCAGGAGCAGACTGTTGTGGTGATCATGTTCCAGTTAACTGGAGCAAAGATTAGACCAGGAGTAGACTGTTGTGGTGATCATGTTCCAGTTAACTGGAGCAAAGATTAGACCAGGAGCAGACTGTTGTGGTGATCATGTTCCAGTTAACTGGAGCAAAGATTAGACCAGGAGCAGACTGTTGTGGTGATCATGTTCCAGTTAACTGCAGCAAAGACTAGACCAGGAGCAGACTGTTGTGGTGATCATGTTCCAGTTAACTGGAGCAAAGATTAGACCAGGAGCAGACTGTTGTGGTGATCATGTTCCAGTTAACTGGAGCAAAGATTAGACCAGGAGCAAACTGTTGTGGTGATCATGTTCCAGTTAACTGGAGCAAAGATTAGACCAGGAGCAGACTGTTGTGGTGATCATGTTCCAGTTTACTGCAGCAAAGATTAGACCAGGAGCAGACTGTTGTGGTGATCATGTTCCAGTTAACTGGAGCAAAGATTAGACCAGGAGCAGACTGTTGTGGTGATCATGTTCCAGTTAACTGGAGCAAAGACTACACCAGGAGCAGACTGTTGTGGTGATCATGTTCCAGTTTACTGCAGCAAAGATTAGACCAGGAGCAGACTGTTGTGGTGATCATGTTCCAGTTTACTGGAGCAAAGACTAGACCAGGAGCAGACTGTTGTGGTGATCATGTTCCAGTTTACTGGAGCAAAGACTAGACCAGGAGCAGACTGTTGTGGTGATCATGTTCCAGTTTACTGGAGCAAAGACTAGACCAGGAGCAGACTGTTGTGGTGATCATGTTCCAGTTTACTGGAGCAAAGACTAGACCAGGAGCAGACTGTTGTGGTGATCATGTTCCAGTTTACTGGAGCAAAGACTAGACCAGGAGCAGACTGTTGTGGTGATCATGTTCCAGTTAACTGGAGCAAAGACTAGACCAGGAGCAGACTGTTGTGGTGATCATGTTCCAGTTTACTGGAGCAAAGACTAGACCAGGAGCAGACTGTTGTGGTGATCATGTTCCAGTTTACTGCAGCAAAGACTAGACCAGGAGCAGACTGTTGTGGTGATCATGTTCCAGTTTACTGCAGCAAAGACTAGACCAGGAGCAGACTGTTGTGGTGATCATGTTCCAGTTTACTGGAGTAAAGACTAGACCAGGAGCTGTTGTGGTGATCATGTTTGTGGTGAACTGGAGCAAAGATTAGACCAGGAGCAGACTGTTGTGTGTGATCATGTTCCAGTTAACTGGAGCAAAGATTAGACCAGGAGCAGACTGTTGTGGTGATCATGTTCCAGTTAACTGGAGCAAAGATTAGACCAGGAGCAGACTGTTGTGGTGATCATGTTCCAGTTAACTGGAGCAAAGATTAGACCAGGAGCAGACTGTTGTGGTGATCATGTTCCAGTTTACTGGAGCAAAGACTAGACCAGGAGCAGACTGTTGTGGTGATCATGTTCCAGTTTAGGATGAAACTGAAGACTATAAAGAAGACCTCACATAACATTAGGTTAAATTTAGGAATACTTAAATCAGATAAAGAAATTAAGGAACAGTACAGTGTCACTGGCAAAACTGGTATAATACAATGAAAATAAAACAAACTATCGGTGAACAAAGGGATATGCTGGGCGGGTCAATTCAGCAGACAACAAAAGAGCTTATTCACCCAACACATAGAGTTGCAAAAAAGAAATGGATGACAAATGAAATTCTGCAGATGATCATAGAAGGAAGAAAAAGAATGATAAAGAAAAAAATATAATGGTTTATATAAATAAATAGTGAACAAATACAAAGAGGCTAAAGAAACCTGGCCAAATCAGATGTGCACAGAGATTGGGTAAATCACGTGAAAGATTGACATTCCATGCACCAACAGGGAAGGAGAGATGTAACATCAGTGGGTGTATAAAATCGAAAAAAAAGGTGAAATATTAATGGGACAAAGTGACATAATTACAAGAAGGACAGAATGCTATAGGGATCTGTAGAATAATAATAGACCAGAAGTATATTTGCAGGACAACAATGAAGGGCCATCAATACTGGCTGCAGAAGTTGAGGACACATTGCATCACATGGAGAAAGGAAAGGTACCTGTGTCAAACAACATCACTTTGAAAGAAACTGAAGCTTTAGAATATTTTGGAATTGAAATAATAACACAATTGCTATATGACATTTATAATAGTGGGTACATTCCTATTAAAATCTATATTTATTGCTCTGCACCCAAAAACATCAGACACTTTAAAATGTGAAGACTATCGCACCATAAGTCTTATGAGTCATGTGAGATTTTACAGAAGAATCCTTAGAATTCCTTGGACAGCTAAGAAGAGTGACCCAGATGTTTTTGAAAGAGACGAATGCTCGAAGACAACTTATCACAAACATCAGAAGGAGACGGTCATAATTTTTTGGTCAGGTTAAGAGAAGAGGGAAAATGGAACATGTGACCACTGTTAAGATCTGTGGAAAGAGAGACAGAGAAAGACAGCGTGAAAAGATTCTTGACAGTCTTTTGTAATGGTATGGAGAGGTGTCAACACAAGAACTGGTACACGCAGCTGCAGATCGCAGATTGTGGAGAGGCATGATCATCCAAGCCGGTTGGCAAGGCACTTAATGATAACTATATCAATTGCAAAGAAACCTCAACTTTAAAATGTGTTCTTTTTTGCAGTTCTAATATTTAGAAATTATAAGTTCTTTTGGTTTATATTTAACCTAACTATTTAAAAGTATGGGTTTGTGCACACCTTAAAAACAATAAAAAAAAGGGTCTCCAGGTGTTAACTAACTAGCAACCATTACTCTGCTTTCTCAATCAAACTGTAATAAGAGATACTGCAGCAGTTTATTCGGTAGCGGAAGCTGGACGACAGCTTCTGACAGCAAAACTTTGTCAGCCGCCAGAATCTCCTGTCTGATTTTTATTCTACATATATGCTGCAGTGACGGGAAAGGTCGGTCAAAGCCAATACCCCACAAGTCTGCAATTTCACGATTCAGTTCATATGTACTGCTTTCACTACTCCAGGTATTGTTGGCTTTTCTCTGAATTGATCGGTAAACTGAACGCCGAATAAGTGGAGCGTAAGAGCTGATGACACTGACAAGTGCGTCCATGTACTCCATGAGTTCTTCAAAAATATGGATGACAGTGAGAAGGAACTGGCGAGACCCAATGATGCTGTTGATCGAGGCAATCATGATTCTTTCAGCCGATATGGTGGTTCCTATCACATGATCCCAGTAAAAAAGGTCAGCAGACGCCCCAAGATCAATGAGGCTTTTGACCAAGATTTCATCGTGGTAGTGAACTGCCAGAGTCAACAAGGTGTATTTCCTGTCTGGCAAAACTGCTTTGTTTAAAATTTGACGAAGCGTAATGGATGCAGGATTCTTACGTGAATGTAGAGGTGTCAAATGCTGAACTAGGTACACCAGGAATGGTTGGGAATATTTAAACACATCCTTGTACTGGGTGCTCATAGAAGTAGTGTCGCCATCAATGAGACTGAAGTAGTCTCTACACAATTTATCTTCAAACAGTGAAGAGTGTGACCAAACAAGAGATGAATACAAACGAACACTAATACCTGGGAGAAATGAAAACATGAATCGTAAATTTCCAGTACATGTGATAATTTCTCTTAAAATTTCTTTGACTAGTTCGGAACATGCGAGTCTCAAATAAAAACCAACGATCAATAAAATATAGAGATACCTGTTGATGTGACAATCGTCAGGTCGGAGACTGAAGTTCTGTACCTGATGTTCTTTGATAATCACACAGGCAAATGTAGTCCACACAAACCTATCTTGACCAACCTGCTCGCTGTATCGTTGGTGATAGCCGTCTATAATTTCACTGATGAGATGAAACTGGTCCTGATTGTAAACGTAGGTGAGATTTTTCGGACACAGCAATCGGTCCTTGAACACTTTTGCCTCCCAGTCATACACCCATTTCATGAACTGGACTTCAAAAATCGGCCGTGACCCATAGGGTTTTGATTCTTTGACTTTGCGCCCACCTTTACTTTTTCTTGGACAAAACAGTGAAGCCATGTTGGAAAGTCAGTGACGTTCTCTGTGGTCAGATTTTCCGCTAATAAATAGATCAGCTGATATTCTCTGGATGAAAATAATAAATTAAAACTAAAATTATGTTTTATTTAATATTTATTATTTAAAAGTTTGATTTTTTCTGAACAAACAATAACAACAACAAAATGACTCTTTTCTGTGTGCCTCATTTATAATAGAGATCTTTGATCCGGACTTCCAAATATCCTATCTGACATATCCTGACAGGCACGACAACACAGAGAAAACATGATGACGGGTAAACACCCCATACATATTTTCAAGGCCCTCCAAAAAATTGGGGGTGGGGGGGGGGGTGGAGCTTAATGGACCCAGACCTAGTTTAAAAGTATATTAATATTTGTGTGCGTAGGGTAATGCGCAGGCTGATAAATTAGCTGCGGCCACTTCTCTAGGTAGCGTGTTGCTCTATGTTAAAGCAGACGTGCTAAAAGCTCTCTGGAATCAAATGGACAGTGCTCCCTCGAAGTCGGAGTACATCTGCCATGAGGCAGGGAACGGCAAAAGCCAGTAAAACGGTTGTACATGCAAAACCCAGGTCAAGGTAAAAGCCAAAAGTTGAAACGGACGATTAACCGGGACCTTCCGCCGGAATTCACAGCCGGTGAATGAAGAAGAAGAAGAAATGGACAGTGCAAGGGAACAGAGATTCCGTACACAGAAAGACTAATTAAACCGGTTGTGAGAGGAGGGTATGGAAGATTTTCAACACTGGGTGGAAACATAGGTGGACTTTTCATCAAGTTGTAACTGTATTAGCATGTCAACTCTTGGCTATCCTCCGAAAAACGGTCCTAAATTATCGAGGCCGGAATTATACCCCAACAGGGCGTCTGTTTTGTGTAAATTGCGGACCTCTTTCCGGGGACTATACCGCCACCGCCGAGAGTTTCCCCTGTGCCGTACGCGCGGGGGAGGGGGTGCTAAACTAGATGGCTGGGACTATAATAAAATGGAGGAAGTTGCAGGAGATGCGGTAACTGCTGCTTGTGAGTCCCAGCCATCTAGTTTAGCCCCCCTCGGAGGTGACTTTAACTTGGAGGAAGCTTTTCAATGGTATGCTGTGTAGTTGCCGGAAAGAGGTCCGTAATTTACATATGACTGAGGCCCTGTTAGGGTATTTTCTTAGCCTCGATAATTTAGGACCGTTTTTCGGAGGATAGCCCAACTCTTCGCTGGCTACTGAAGAAGAGGATGGGGCATGTGTGGGAATGATTAAAAAAATATTGCTAAGGCCCCCTTTTGGGAGCCGTCATGGTGTAGCGGCTAGACGCTCGCCTGCGGATCCAAAGGTCATGAGTTCCAATCTGAACGAAACTTTTTTCAAGGATGACATTGGCTCCCAGGTCGACCCAGCTTGAAATGGGTACAAGGTAAAGTCGTGGGAAGTAAAGGTGGACAGCTGTGGTTTGCCACATCACCCACTGAGTGCCGACTGGTCTGTAAAATATGATCTTTAATATCGGGGCTCTCCTCCGAACTTTGTCCCCATATTATGGCCAATATCGGTCTATCCCCATTCTACTGAAGATGTGGTAAAGGTTCCATTATGCCTCTTGCATGCTCATCTGTTTTACACATCTGGCTTATCTGTATGCAGACTATTGCAACTCAAGACTATATACTGTGACACTGACATTAACCCTCTTAGCACGGACAGGCCGATTATCGGCCGGCGGATGTCTGGCCAAAAACACGGAAC